CTAACTATGTCCAAAGGGGGGCCTTTACCTATACTAACATTATAATGTTGAACATTTCTGCTGGTGTTTGTGTTATTGAAGCTGCCACGAAGGTCAGAAAATGTTAAAATATCTATTTAGTTGTAACCTAAACACCATCTTGGAGCCTTGCTGGGCAGTTTTGCCTGACCTGGATGTTCAGTGAAGAAAATAAGTATTTGAACACCCTGCAATTTTGCAAGGTCTCCCACTAAGAAATCATCGAGGGGTCTGAAATTGCGACGAGAAAATTATCTAAAAATAAAAAATCCAGAAATGGCGATGCAATTTTTTTTGTTTTTTTTTAAACTGCTGCAAAGAAGTATTTTAACACCTGTCTCAGCAATAATTCTGACCTTAAAGACCTGTAAGTCTGCCTTCAAAATGTCCAACTCTACACAATTTATTTGCTGCATACATGTCCACCCCATACAATCGGTAAGGATCAACTAACATGGACAAGACCAAAGAGCTGTCCAAAGACACGAGACAAAATTGCACACCACAAGGCTGAAAAGGGCTATGGGGAAATTGTCAAGCAGCTTGGTAAAAAAGGTCCACTGTTAATATTTAGATAATTGAAGAAGCTAAACAAGTGTCAGTCTCCCTTGGACTGGGGCTCAATGCCAGATCTCGCCTCGTTGAGTCTCAATGATCCCAAGGTGACATATCAGTGCAGAACTACACGAGAGGAGCTCGGACCACAGTTTCCAAGGTTACTGTTGGTAATACACTAAAGCCCCATTTACACTACCCTTTTGGAACCGTACCGGCCTATTGGCCAACGCCCTGACCAGTGCAACTGACTCACGTAAGCGTGACAAAGCTGGTGAGGAGTGTAAACAGCCTGTCTGTAAAACAGCGAATCCTTCCAAAGCTGAGTCAAAAATCACCATGAGAGCCAGCGGTACTTCACACAACTGCAGAGAAAGAGCTGCTGCAGATGGGCTGCGGTTAGCCCTGGTTGCCGTTGGCTTCGGAGGTCCAATGGTTGCTGCGATCTTCTCAACTTCAGAAATTGTTTTTTTAATAACCCATTAAATTGATAAATGGACCTTATAGTGACGGTTTAAAGTATATTCTCACCTCAAATGATCCTAAAATTTACTTTTATTGAACAGCCACTTTCAATGGAGCTGCTGGTGCCGCAGTGCATGCTACAGTTCAATAGTTGTTGCAATCTTCCTTGTTGTGCTTTCTCCAGCATCATGTAGCTTTGTCGTCCCTCCCTCAAAACCCCGCTAGCTTTGAATCCAAAAATTAAAAACACATCCCTGTGTTGTGATTGGCCCGCCAGTTCTAGGGCCTGGGGCATTGATCGAGGCTAGACCAAACTTGCAGGCAAAAATTATTTTGGCCGCTGGCGGGTGGGGCTAGTTTACTAGGCTAGTAGTGTGTGCAACCTGGTGGGAAAAACTACAGGAAATGTTTGATCCCTGTAATTGCAAGGAATGGCTACTGTACAGTCAAAAACTTATTTTCCTCATTGTACATACATGGACATAGCTGCTTGTGGAATGCATTTGGAAAAAGGTTCCCACAATACAGGTGCTGGTCATAAAATTAGAATATCATGAAAAAATAGATTGATTTCAGTAATTCCATTTAAAAAGTGAAACTTGTATATTATATTCATACATTACATACAAACTCATATATTTCAGATGTTTATTTTGTTTAATTTTGATGATTACAAATGACAACAAATGAAAATCTCAAATTCATCATATCAGAAAATTAGAATATTACTGAAGACCAATAAAAACAAAGGATTTATAGAAATGTTGGCCAACTGAAAAGTATGAACATGAAAAGTATGAGCATGTACAGCACTCAGTATTTAGTTGGGCCTCCTTTGGCCTGTATTACTGCAGCAATGCGGCGTGGCATGGAGTCGATCAGTCTGTGGCACTGCTCAGGTGTTATGATAGCCCAGGTTGCTCTAATAGTGGCTTTTAGCTCTTCTGAATTGTTGGGTCTGGTGTATTGCATCTTCTTCTTCACAATACCCCATAGATTTTCTATGGGGTTAAGGTCAGGAGAGTTTGCTGGCCAATTAAGAACAGGGATACCATGGTCCTTCAACCAGGTACTGGTAGCTTTGGCACTGTGTGCAGGTGCCAAGTCCTGTTGGAAAATGAAATCTGCATCTCCAAAAAGTTGGTCAGCTGCAGGAAGCATGAAGTGCTCTAAAACTTCCTGGTATGTGGCTGCGTTGACCCTGGACCTCAGAAAACACAATGGACCAACACCAGCAGATGACATGCCACCCCAAACCATCACTGACTGTGGAAACTTTACACTGGACTTCAAGCAACGTGTATGAAGTGCCTCTCTTCTTTTCCTCCAGACTCTGGGACCTTGATTTCCAAAGGAAATGCAAAATTTACTTTCATCAGAGAACATGACTTTGGACCACTCACCAGCAGTCCAGTCCTGTTTCTCTTTAGCCCAGGCAAGACGCTTCTGACGCTGTCTGTGGTTCAAGAGTGGCTTGACACAAGGAATGCGACAGCAGAAACCCATGTCTTTCATACGTCTGTGTGTGGTGGTTCTTGAAGCACTCACTCCAGCTGCAGTCCACTTTTTGTGAATCTCCCCCACATTTTTGAAGGGGTTTTGTTTCACAATCCTCTCCAGGGTGCGGTTATCTCTCTTGCTTGTACACTTTTTTCGACCACATCTTTTCCTTCCCTTCGCCTCTCTATTAATGTGCTTGGACACTGAGCTCTGTGAACAGCCAGCCTCTTTAGCGATGACCTTTTGTGTCTTGCCCTCCTTGTGCAAGGTGTCGATGGTCGTCTTTTGGACAACTGTCAAGTCAGCAGTCTTCCCCATGATTGTGTAGCCTATAGAACTAGACTGAAAGACCATTTAAAGGCTTTTGCAGGTGGTTTGAGTTAATTAGCTGATTAGAGTGTGGCACCAGGGGCCATCAATTTTGAACCTTTTCACAATATTCTAATTTTCTGATATGATGAATTTGAGATTTTCATTTGTTGTCATTTGTAATCATCAAAATTAAACAAAATAAACATCTGAAATATATGAGTTTGTATGTAATGTATGAATATAATATACAAGTTTCACTTTTTAAATGGAATTACTGAAATCAATCTACTTTTTCATGATATTCTAATTTTATGACCAGCACCTGTATGTTCATCGGCCCCTTGAACCCAAGCACCCCCCTTTTCATCAAGCTGTCTTTAGTAATTTGTCCTTGTCATCGACGATTTACATCAAAGCCAACAATGATCTTTTCATTTTAAACCTTGAAACTCTTGAACACAAAGTAAAATGAGTATTCAACTCAGACATTCTGCCCATTGCAATTTGAAAATTAACATGTCTGTTATGTTACTAAAAAACTGATCATCCCGAGGCCAAAAAAACAGAATCAGTGATTAAATTAAATGCCTATTTGTTGCCAGGTGGTCAAAAGCTGGACAGACAATTTTAAGTCTGTTTAGATGTCAAGTACGTGAGAGTTCTCTGTGAGGGGAAGTGAGACATTAACCCCTGCTTGACCTCATAAGGACAGGATTTTGACTTCAGGTGAGGAATCTGTGTGAAAGGCGAGACATCTTTCTCTTTTTGTAGCCACATTTAGCTTTAAATGCACAAAAGGACAACTCCAAAGTCTCCATGTTGGGAACCACAGAAAACTTGCAGGCTATTTTTACTCATTTGATAGGGAAAAATATAAATAAAATAACATTGGATGGCTTCTGTCATTAGCCTGGATCGATGTTTGAATCCATTTGTGATTATAAATACTAGCATCTATTTAAACCGGTTGATTGTCCATACATTTTTGATAAATTTGAGATGGGAGCAATCCAGATACCTGATGTTGGTCAGGATAATTCTTTAAGCAGTTGATCTGTTTGGGACTATCATTACTGCTTTCATCAGTTGCCAATAAATAAGGGCAATCAGGTTTCTCCTCAGGAAACCGGCTGTCTAAACTTTTAAAAACCAAGAGTACTCTTTAAAACAAATCCCAAAAGTAGCCAGTGCAGATATGGCAGTCATTTGCTCACATAGGGTACAGCTTCCGATTAAAATGACTTGAGTTGCATACTGCATCAAACCATTTGTCTAATTAAGACTTACCAGAATTGACCCAAGGTTCCTTACTCAGCATTTTAATGACCAATTGCATTGCTATATTCTGCTAAGCTCTATGCATTTTTTTGCTTCCTTTTTTAACAGTTTAAAAAATCATATATCTTTCACTTTCTTTTAACATGAGGTAGGTTCCTATATTGGCACACGAAAATACAAATTTTGCTTTCTAAAAATGGATCAATGGAGAATGGAAGATATCATAAGAGGGCACCTTGAGGAACACCACATTTCAGATAAGCCGTAAAGGAGGAAAATGACCCAGTCTTAGACAGACTTAATCGTCATTTTGTACACACAGAGTTTATACAAAAAAAAAATTTTGTTCGGTACAGCTCTCAAGACATTTCCATTTCTAAAGTGCAACAGTGATGAAAGGCAAACATAAGAGTGGTATATGACTAACAGTTTCCAACATTCCCACATGGGAATGTCATTAATTTGAAAATGATTCCAGTAGTGTCAGAACTTATATGAACAATAAAATAGGATTTTTCCAAAGTGGCTAACTAATCCTTTATAATTGAACTCTCACACTGGACAAATTAACCTCTGCATTTAATCCATCCCCTTGGGGAGTAGTGGGCTGCCACTGTTTGGCGCCTGGGGAGCAGTGCAGGATTAAGCGTCTTGCTCAGGGACCCAGAGTGGCAGACTGAGAGTCAAACTCAGAACCTCCAGAACCCAAACGCAATGCTCTAACCACTAGGCCCCATTCAGCCAGCTGATCATTCTGGCTGCACTCTGTAAAGTGGGAATTTATTTCAAGTGGGCAATTATTTGTTCACCTTGAATGCATCTTAGAACAAGCAGGGGAGGGTCTGGAGGGGATGGACTCCCTGGACCAGAGTGTATATTAGTATCCTCTCTGCTCGGGTGCATCTCCTACTTTTCGACCTTCTTTATCTCCTGCTCTGTCTGAACTAGGTTTGCTATGGCAGGACGGCTGGTCATTCGAGGAGTACTGATTCTTTGCTTGGTACAGGCAGCACACACGGGGTGAGTTGCTAAGGCTCAGATATACATTAAAAGTACTTTTTAATTTTTTCATTTTACTATCAAACCAAAGTATTACATGATTTACATATTACTTAATATATGTTAAATCTCTGACAGTATAAAAAGGATATTCAAAAGTTTGAACACTCAAGATAATGGGGTATTTTATGAGATTTTGCCCCACTTTTTGTTTCAATTTCAACCATCATTGTGCAATTCAGACTTGTAGTGAAACAATCAAGAAAAGTCCCTGAGAAAATGTTTTTAATACATGGAGTGCAAAGTAATGATGCTCATAGATAAATTTCTTGGCATAAACTTTCTTTTCAATTCTAGTCAGATTGTTTTAAATCCAGTTTGCCCTCATCCAAGGAAGTTTTTTTTTAAATTGGATTTTCAAAGTTGTAATCCACAAAGCACCTTAGCGTTTACTTCTTTAGATGGACAATATTTCATTTTTGGATCTTTACACCGTGATATATTTATATATGATGACCCCTGAGGCAATGTGCAAAAGTTCCTAATTTGAAATGCTTTGTTGTCTTTCTTTACAAACCTTTGCTTATATTCCATTTAAATATATAAATTGTTATTATAATTGCACTTTTTTCCAAAATCATTAGTCACCTAAAGTTATCACTGATACTGCCTCCAAAGCTCAGATTACCTTCTATCTTTAGTACTTTTTCAATAACAGACAGATAAAACTTTTTTTTTTCTTAACTAATTGACAAAATCTGAAAACCTTCACAAGAAGAATCAGAATAGGTAAAAAGCAGTTTTTTTTTTTTATTACTTTGATCTTTTTTCTTCTTTTGTTCATAAATTTAAGACTGGACAAGAAAAGGTTTAACTAAACAATTTAATGTCTAACTTTAGGCCTTTGGGCTTTTTATTGTCTATTTTTTTATTTGTTTATCAAGCTAATTAAAATTGAGAACTGGGAGCTTTTTGCTCAGCTGCACCTTAGAAAAAGTGGGTCAGTTTTCTACCATCCTCTCATGGATTATCGTCTCTGTGAAATGTGTTAACATGTCTTTTCATGTCTGTTTTCTTTTGTAACAAGAAGGAGAATTCTTGAGTCTGAGTTATGAACTGACTTTCTGCCAAGAATGGAGATGATGGAGTTGACAGTTCTGTTAGACTTCGTCAGACTCTAACTCTTCTGGCCAAGTTGAATGTACAGTAGCTGTAAAGCAAAAGAGAAAAAGTTGCATGATTTTTAATGTCTGTCTTATCTATATCTAATCCAATACCCCTTACTAAAATGCAACAAATTGCAATACATTAGCCCTGCACTCAAAAAAAAAAAATCTTGCCCTCATGAAGGCTTACCAAAAAAAACCAAAAAAACTCTGCAAACGGGTAACAGAACAATCCTGGGGAAAAAAAGTTTTAACAATGTATGAGGCAGCAGGGCAAAACGTAGTCAAACCTTAAGTGGAATGGTTTCAATCAAAGCTAATGTTAGTTAATTGGAAATATTTGACAAGACTAAAGATATTGCTTATAGATTATCTTTGAACTTCCTCTTTCAATTATGCAAAGAATAATGGACATATCCGTCTCCAGATGTGCATAGCTGGTAGCGACAAACTTAAGATTTGTAGCTGTAGCGATACGCCTGAATGTTCTTCATTCAGTCTTAAAGCCATACATTTGTTATTCCCTCTACATTAAAATTATAGCATGGGATATTTTGCAATGGTCTTTCACCTAAAATCCTGATAAATAACCAGATGGAACATGAATAAAACTTAAACTTAATTTCGGCACTTTGGTAAGAAGAGGAGGGGAAAATTAAAGTGACCAGAAATAGAACCACCTTAAGCCTGAAGTCAGGATTCCTTATATTGATTTCAACTGGAATAAAAAAAAAAAAGCAAGTCTTTTAAAGCACACACAGCCCTTTCTTATTATTGAACTAATTTATTACAAAGCCAGTGTTGTGCATTGAGACAGGCGACTTAGTGACTGGAGGGAGATATGAGACAAATGTCTTTCAGGTGGTCGGGTTTGTCTGTCAAATTTCAAACAGCAGTGTTAAACTAAAATCCGAGAGACAAGATCCACAAAGCTCAGTGTGACCAACCTACCTTAAGGTTTTTGTTTTAGCTGTGACCATAAGATGCAGCCATATATCTTCTGTCTCAGTGATTTGACCTTTAGGCTTCAATTTGACATTCAGAGGTAGCTTGAATTCAGTGACAGCAGCAGTCTAAATCTAACATCTACCTGTGAAAGGAGGATGGTTTTACTCATCCACACGGTCACTCCAATTACTTTCAAAGGTTCTTTAAATGTTTGTCAGAGGAATCCCTACAGTAATAAAATGCTTTAAAAGAATTCATGATCATTTTGACTGATCAGCTTATTGCTTAAAGGCTCAGCCTTCTTTTTTTATGACATACTGACGCTTTTAAAGATATATTTTATTATTTAAGAATCTAAACAGGAAAATCACTCGTCTTCTTCTTGTGATCTTAAATTAGCTGTTATTTAAATTGTGTCCCAGCTCATTTTGCCCTTTAATGTTCACCACTTTTTCAATTTCAGGTTCCAAAATCTGTCAGTTTTCAATATTTAAGTGATAAATATTTACTTAGTTATGTAGGTGATGTATTCAGTTTTGTGATTTCATCAAAAAGGCCTTAGGCAAAAAAAAAAAAAAAAAGTAAAAATGAAACAGTTTTAGTAGCCTCGTGGATTTTTTCTTTATGTCTATTATCGAATAATTTCTTCTTTGATAACGGATAGATTAAGACATTAGGACATTTCTTTCTTAAATCCTGATCCAGACTTTGAGTATTGCACTTTCATGGAGGAACTTCCATTGTTATATTAGGCCAGACTATGAACGGTGGTTTGGCTTTTATTGTTTGTATTGCTTATAGCATTTATTATGAATTTACTATGTATTTTTATTCAACTGTGCAGCACTTTGAACGCCTCATATGTCACAACTACGGTGGCTGAGAAGTGCAAAACACATTTACAATTCAAAAACACATTAACAAATAAAAAACAAAATAACATTTGAAGAAACAAAATTATATTTTGTGAAACAAATGTATTTTTGAAAAAAAAGTTTAAATTTTTAAAAACAAATTTACATTTTAGCAAACAAATTTACATTAACAAATAAACAAAATAAAATTTGAAGAAACAAAATTATATTTTATGAAACAAATGTATTTTTGAAAAAAAAGTTTAAATTTTTAAAAACACATTTACAATTCAAAAACACATTAACAAATAAAAAACAAAATAACATTTGAAGAAACAAAATTATATTTTATGAAACAAATGTATTTTTGAAAAAAAAAGTTTAAATTTTTAAAAACAAATTTACATTTTAGGAAACAAATTCACATTTTAAATAAGTTAGATTTTAGGTGAGAGAAAGTTTCATTTTAGAGAAAAAAAAATACATTATAGGGAAACAAATTTACATCTAAAAAAAAATTGACCGTTCGGAAACACTTGTACAAGTGCAAAGACAAAACTGCAAGTGGCAAAACACATTTACATAGCCAAAAACAAATTAACAGAAGACGGCTACACGGAAAGGGAATGTCCCAGTGGCCGGATGTGACGTCACGATTACCCTGACTTGTAGTACGAACAGCTCAAGCTGTAGTCCTCCTGCTTCACGTGAAAAGTCAGCGGCGATTTTAGATGGAAAGAATTGCACTGAAGCTGTTTTTCTTAAGTTTACGCTAACCGAACAATGTTTTCAGCCAATTTACACCATTTTGTTCTTCGTGCGGACGGTCTCTGGAACTTTTACGGGACACGGACCAGGTGGCAGGACCAAGCAGCAGGGCCGGGCGTATTACTGGCCGGAGCCACTATTATTTTGTCATGTAGTTTTTTAATTACTTTTCTTTGGTATTTAGTTATTTTTTGGGTATTTTTCCTGCCGTTTTTCGGCAAATGCCTTATTTATAGTACTTCTAACTAGATTGTTTTATATATATATATATATATATATATATATATATATATATATATATATATATATATATATATATATATATATATATATATATATATATATATATATATATAGGCTATATATTGTGATGTTATCGCTTAATAACCTGTATTAAAATGTATTCTTTATGGGTTTCTTTTTATTGTGATGTTATTGCTTAATAAACTGCATTAAAACTTTTATAATGTCACATTTACTTGATGGAACGGAGTACTTTATCTGCGAATAAGTGGCCTCGGCCGGCAGCAGCCACCATCGGCCTCTCCGATGGCACGCTCTGCCGGCAGCGGCCACCATCGGCCTCTCCGATGGCAAGCTCTGCCGACAGCGGCCACCATCGGCCTCTCCGATGGCAAGCTCTGCCGGCAGCGGCCACCATCGGCCTCTCCGATGGCAAGCTCTGCCGGCAGCGGCCACCATCGGCCTCTCCGATGGCAGGCTCTGCCGGCAGCGGGCAACAACGGCCACTCCGATGGCCGGCTCTGCCGCAGCCACTGTCACGAATTGAGCCCGGCCCTGCTGCTTGGTCCTGCCACCTTGTACCGTGTCCCGTAAAAGTTCCAGAGACCGTCGGCACGAAGAACAAAATGGTGTAAATTGGCTGAAAACATTGTTCGGTTAGCGTAAACTTAAGAAAAACAGCTTCAGTGCAATTCTTTCCATCTAAAATCGCCGCTGACTTTTCACGTGAAGCAGGAGGACTACAGATTGAGCTGTTTGTACTACAAGTCAGGGTAATCGTGACGTCACATCCGGCCACTGGGACATTCCCTTTCCGTGTAGCCGTCTTTTGTTAATTTGTTTTTGGCTATGTAAATGTGTTTTGCCACTTGCAGTTTTGTCTTTGCACTTGTACAAGTGTTTCTGAACGGTCAATTTTTTTTAGATGTAAATTTGTTTCCCTATAATGTATTTTTTTTCTCTAAAATGAAACTTTCTCTCACCTAAAATCTAACTTATTTAAAATGTTAATTTGTTTCCTTAAATGTAAATGTGTTTTTAAAAATTGAAACTTTTTTTTCAAAAATAAATTGTTTCATAAAGTATAATTGTTTCTTCAAATGTTATTTTGTTTTTTATTTGTTAATGTGTTTTTGAATTGTAAATGTGTTTTTAAAAATTTTAACTTTTTTTTTTCAAAAATACATTTGTTTCATAAAATATAATTTTGTTTCTTCAAATGTTATTTTGTTTATTTGTTAATGTAAATTTGTTTGCTAAAATGTAAATTTGTTTTTAAAAATTTAAACTTTTTTTTCAAAAATACATTTGTTTCACAAAATATAATTTTGTTTCTTCAAATGTTATTTTGTTTTTTATTTGTTAATGTGTTTTTGAATTGTAAATGTGTTTTGCACTTCTCAGCCACCGTACACAACACTTCTTAAATAAACGCTTGATGGATTGATTAAAAATGGCCATTAAATGACATTCCTTATTTTAAAACACATATATGTTTGAGAAGGAACTTAAGAAAAATACTTAGAGATAGAGGTGATGTATGTTAACCTTAACAATACACAAAAATGGAGAAAAAAGTTTCATGAGTTGTGAGAACACCTTTTTCTCTATTTGGTAAGATTTTCTTAAAATTGGATACTAAAAAGACAAATTGGTTTTGCAGCTCCAAACAATCTATGGTGAAAAATTTCTTTTTTTTTTTTTTTAGTAAAAATGAATAGAAAATTGACAAACTACATGACTTTAAAGTGAGTAAATTAGTAAAGAGTTAAGATTAGCCAGCCTCAGAGGGCCCTGCACACTAGATAATATCTTCATCAGCAGAACTCTCTAATTTTTATACGTTACAGTAAGTAGATATTGAAATGATTATATCCCTCCATCCATCCATGTGTGAACTTCATCATGCTATTTGTGTATCCAAATTATTTTTGTTGCTGAATATAATGACTTTCTGTTTTATTCTTATTCTTGTCAATCATGTTAATGCCTGAGACATTATGGCAAGTAGTTGAAACCTTTGTTGTAACATTTTTTTTATTTAGAATAAAACATTAACAAGCTGAACTAAACTGCAAATACATACAAGTAAAACTGGATTGCAGAGATGAAATTGATGCAAAACCACTTTTTAATAAATGTATTTTGTTATGATAAGGTTATAGCGCCTCATATGGAGCTTCCAATGGACAAGGACCTCATCCTAACGGTGACCCACTTAGTTTTTTGTGCTTGAAATAACTTACAAATGCAGTTTTGATAATTTTTTTGTCAGAACACATCTTTGGTCAGTTAATTATGATTTCTAACTTTTTCAGGAAATGTCCCTCAGCGTGGTGGCAGACTGGGATCATTCCTAATCCCATCTAAAGGTAAAGAAGAGCTGCAAGATTTAGGTTCACACTTATTTGTTTCATTCAAATAATACTTATTTTTTAATATCAGGAGTTGGACGGACATTGGGACAACAAAATGGACACACTGGGTATCCAACAAAAGGAAATGGTCAGTGTGGAAATTAAATTGTATTACAAGTTGAAATGATTTCTTCTCAGACTTTATTTATAGTGTTGTCTTCAGATGCTGTTAATTTTTTATTGTTTTCAAAATCCTTTATCTTTAATAAAGTTACCAGATATAATTTTTTTTTGCTGAAGGTTATGGAGCTGTCGCTGGGATGAACAAAGGATCCGGAGTCAATAGTAAGTTTCATGTATTCATTCTGTAAATTCTATGAAAAAAGTTGATCTTCCATTGCTGATATGAGACTAAACGGATAAAGTAGTCAGATTTTATGCTGTGGTCAGTAATGTGTATATCATTGTAGTTCCAAAAATCCAATCCAAAAATGGTAGGGCATGTGTGCCATATACTTTATTTGTAAATTCTGTAAATTTAAGAGCAATAAAACAGAGTATGAAAGGAGCAGATTAAGGTGCACAAAAGTCTTTTGAGTAAAATCTACTGAATACATGTGGTTCTATTTACTACTGTATAATATGAAAGAAAACTTGGTGGTACCTATAATTTTCCAATTTGAAGAGATTTTAATCTATCCTTAATAATTTTGATCAAATTGAAATAAAAAAATATCAATCATTGTCAGCCACCTGTGTTGAAGATTTTCTTTTTAATAATTTTTGAATTGCAGGTTGAGCTGCAAAAAATCATTCAACAGGCTCCAAATTGTCCCCAGACCTCCCGTTTGGAGACTCCTTCAAACTTCACTTTGCTGTGGAGACATTTTTAATACCCTCATGCTTCATAGTGCTGTTTTATTGAATGTCCTCCAAGCATTTGTTAGATATCTGGGACCAGATATTCAGAAGGTTTGAACATCTTAAAACACTCAAAACATGATGTCATATGCAGAGCAAATCTTCAGAGAAGCTGCAAAGGGATTTGCATTTGCCATTCAGCAGACGGCATCTACAAACCTTTTTTGTGCGTGTGCCTTTATCAATACGCAGATAATATTCTAACTAAGCAAACTCATAGTCGGATATGCAAATGTAAGCATTTACGACGTGCAAAGCAATTTTACAAATCTGAAACTCAACTGCAGCCACAGTCTTTTTCTTTTTTTTTTATCTCTGAAAGTCGGTACTACTCAATCACCAGACAAAGAAAAGCTTTAACTTTTTTCAAATGTAGTAACGTAAATGTTGCATTATCGTTATTATTGAAATAACTATGGTTATCATTACCTCCATCTACACGCCTTAGAACCATATTTGTCTTTGCATGTTCTACCTACAGCACATGGATTCCGCTGAACCAAACCAGTCTGCTCAACTTACCCTTTTTGCAACAATCTTTCACCCCGAACACTCCCGCTTATTGCATACACACACAAAAACTCTTCACATGCAATTTAGAAATTGGAATATTTGTAGCTTTAGATATTTGATGTATCTACAAATAAATAAATAAAAATCGATTTTGGGAAATCAAATTCTGTCGTTTATGTGAAATCCACCAATTACTCATGAAAAAGGTGTTTTTTAACATCAAGGACAGGTGTAGTTTCCTGGAGCAATTCAAGGAAAATATAGTTAAAATTATCCCCCAGAAATAAATATGTAAAGGTGTCTTTAAGTTTTTACTGAATTAAAATTTCTAAGCTTTCTATTTATTTTAAAATGAGTAGAAATGTTGGCATATTACAACTTTATGACATTTCTAACAGCCAGCCATAACAAACACCATTAGGAATCAGTTTTAATGGAAACAAGAGCTTGCCAAAGGTTGCTAGGTCCACAATGAATGTGTAGGAACGCTGGTGCTGACATAAAATCGGCATCAAGAGGTTAAAATTGTGCTGGATTTTTAGTTTTAGATCCTAATGCAACTTGGAAACACAGAGCTGATTTAAAATAATGGCACAAGGTTTTGCTTTATCAACTTTCATACAAAAAGTGCTGGTCTTTCCCTTCCAACAGAAGAAATATTAATATCAGTTCTCTGATTATACACTACAAACAATAACTCCAATTTCTGCAAATAAACATAACTTTTTTCTGCCTATTCTAATAATCTAATTAATCTATTCTAGGAGGAAATCAAGCCGTCTTATCCTCTAGAAGTGGATCCATGACTAATGGTATATGTGGAGTATTAAATATTTTAGTTTTACTGGTAAAGCTGAGCAAAGCATAATTAACTCTATTTACTGTAGGATATGGACTGAAAGCTGGCTCATCAATTGGACAACAACTGAAAGGTGGGTTAACTTGTGTTTTAAGAACTGCTCACACTCAGAACTGTGTGTTTTAAATACAGTTTTATTCTTGTTTCAGGTTACACTACTCAGAATGCTGCCTATGGAGGACAAGGAACTAGAGGTGATGTTATTTAAGACATTTGAATGTTTGATGTGTCATAGAAAAGGTTTTTAGGAACTAAAAAATAAAATGGAATAAAAAAAACCTTATTCGTCTCACAGTGGGGAAATCCAGGTCTCTCAGTTGTAATAATACAATGTCGTCTGAAGCAGCAGTTTCAAAACAGGGAACATGTATGAGTAAATTTCAGTTATTTTAAAACGATTTTGCAATTGTTGATATCAGTTTTGTTGAGGGAGGGGGGAAAATGGCTTTCATTCATCACCCTCTGATTAGACCCTCTGCCATAACTTTGTCCTCTGCTCCTGACATGTTTCTAACACACTTTTCTTTTCCAGTTGACTAAAAACCACACACAATTATAAAATTTACAAATTCCAACAGTCTCTCTGATATTCAGTTCATACAAATTGTTATCATCAGGACATAAATACTGGATTTCCCAGCAGTATCATCAAACCAACAGTGACATTGCCTTCTTATTGGTGATGTTAGAGGATTAGACTTTACTATTAGAGCCTATATTTATGTCAACCTCTGCAATATATAAATAGATTTTTTTTAAAGTTAACAGCATTGCATTAATAATATATTAGCTAAATTAAGAAAAAAAAAATCCACCTAGTTAACAAACTAAAAAGAATTTATTGTATATTCTCTTAGCAAATCATATACATCCTTATTACTTATTCCCAAAGTTCACAGAAAATATAGTGATTTTATGCAAAAAATATTAGATTTGAGGCTTCTGTCGTTTTGCAGGTAAACTGTACTGCAGCTGCTGTTCAAAACAGATTAGTGACAAAAAGTAAATGGGAATAAAGGAATAAGTAAACCATTTCCTGAACAAAACGCCAAACAACCCAACTGAATGATGCTGCTACCACCGTGTTTTACAGTGGGGATGGTGTGTGAACATTGTGTGCAGTGGGGAGTTTGTTTGTTTTTTTGCCACACATACCACTTTGATTGAAAACCAAGAAGGTTCAATGTTGGTCTCCTCTAACCAGAGCACCTTTCTCCCCTTACATGGCTTGCAGCAAACTTTAATTTCTCTACAGTTCTTTTTAAAGGCAGGATTTGATTCTCTGCAGCTCAAAAATAGTCATCCTAAGCCTCTTTGCTGCTTCTCTGATCAACTTTTTACATTCTGTCAGCAAGGGCGTAGGAATATGTTTACAATTGGGGGGGACACATGTCGGAAATCTGAGATTCGTAAATATTCAACAGAAACATATCTTAAGTACGCTACTTAAAAAAAAGGCTATTTAATCTTTTACTTTATTCCTTTATAAATGTGTCTTGCAAAAATAATGCATTTAAAATTAACATAATGCATTTGTTCATAAGATGTGAGCATATCACCAAACAAAATGACTGGAGTCTTTTATTAAGCAAAGGGAGATGTCTTTCAAGGGCTTCAGCCCTTGGCATATTTAGTGTCCGCATACGCACTAGAAAATCAAAACAATTCAGTAGGCCACACAAGTGCAAAGTTTGATATGTTTTATTTTGTCAAACTTGCAATAATGGTCAAAAATGAATTTATATAGGTTGACTGACAGAGGGAGCTGACAGTGTGTTGAAGAATTATGGACAGGGCGCTTTGAAGCATCTGGTTCAAAAACGCATTATCAACCTTTGGTAGAAATCCATCTATCCTTCCATTTTCTGTACACCCTGTCCCTTAGTGGGGTCGGGAGGTGCTGGTGCGGGGTACACCCTAGACAGGTCGCCAGTCTGTCCAGACCTTTGGTAGAAATGGCGCCTTTAATTCCAGTTTGCAGTACAGAACAGAGAAAACTACAGAGTTGTCAATGTTGTGTTAATCTGTTTATAGTCTAAAAAGAGGAGCCAGCAGTTTATTTGAGGAAATAAAGGTGCAGAAGTTAATTAGTTGGTTAATTAGTGGTTGTGCAGCAGTCCGCTGCACGACCAATGCGGCCGCCGCTGCTAAGAATTAGAATTAATTCTCCCTGTGGTTTTAACTAACGATCAGGAGCGCGGCAGGTATAACATCTGTCCATTTCGAGGAATCAAAACCACGAAAAAAATAATAAATCCTCGTAAAACGCACGCCCAGACCGGGCTAATTTCAACACAAGTTGTGTTAGGTGACTGTTACTCACACTGACGTTTCTCTTTTTAAAGTAAGTCCTACTGCTGTTTCAGCCTTTTAGTTGGTGGTGGCATTGTACTGAAATGAGATATATATATAAAAAAAAACAAAAAAACATTTTGGCTAGCGTGGCAAACGTCTAGAGAAAGTAAGCAGTTAAATATTGGATGAGTGATCAGCCCAAGACTACGGAAGAGGATAGGGCAACTGAAAAAAAAAAGAGTTAAGTGATTTTTAAATTTTATTTCAGTTTAATATGGGAAAAAAGTCAGAATTCTGACTTTTTTTTTCTCAGAATTCTGACTTTTTTTTCTCAGAATTGTGGATCTTAATGTAGATGGTCACCATGAAGGAAGAGATGTGGAGCACTCAACTTCACAAAGATGTGAGTTGTTTGAGGTGGCTAGTGACACATTGGTGGAAAATGACAGAATTAGGCAACTTTTTACGTGCCCGAGGGGTCCCCTCATTAATGGAGGAGCAGAAGGTCATTAAAACAAGAGAGCTAGTCTCTAAAACAGACATGGCTATGGCTTGATGTTAACATTTTGTTATATTACATTTGTGTTGTGTTTTCCAAATAGTGTAGAAAATGAATGGTGGGTTTATAATGTTTACCTTTTATGAGCAGGACAGGAAGCAGAGAAGTGTAGCATTACCTCCAACTAGTTAAACTCACAATTATGAAGTGATTCAACAAATTCCTCAAGTAAAAAAGTGCAACTTTTATTTTTTTTTACCAGATTTGTTGATTAATTTCAAAATTATGTATTCCTTCCAAATTTCCAAATCTGAAGAATTTTTTAAAGTAATATCTACATTATTTAACATTTAGTTTGTTTTATCAGTACATCCTGTTATATTTCTTTAAACGTATATTTTACATTTTCTTGCACAGCAAGCTCAGCAGATTTGAAATTGTGTGCTTGTGTAAACACAAGTAGTCAATCTTTACTCTAAACATATTTTCTAAATAATTCTGACTTTTTTACCCATGTTAAACAAAAAAAAAAAAAGTAAATATCAGTTAACCTTTTTTTTTCAGTGGCCCTAATCCTCTTCCGTACAAGACTAAGATGCCTAAACCAAAAAGATTCAGTTTCTATATATGAAAGTGAACTGACAAGACGTTATAAATAGTCAATATTCATAGCAGCATTCATAGATACCCATAATAAAGGCTAGATGTCTCGTCCGCGCTGCTGGCCAATGGGGGTCGACGTCCGCACGTGGCGGCCATCTTGCCACAGGCAGCTCGCTCATTCGTAACATTGTGTTTTAAAGGCGCATGTACTTAAATAACCATAACTTCCTCAATTGTCTAACGATTCTCAAACTGTTTGGTTTGTTAAACAAAAGTCAGACATGTAGTTATGAAACTGCACACTTATGAATAATTATAACCATGGAATTTCATATGAAAAGAACATTGAATAGAACATACAGGTGCAATAAATATACACATGCACAAGGTATTTATGTTAAATCAATATATGCTATTAAAACTCAGTGTACTGAATGGCAACATGATATATAGATATATCTATAGATATCTATACATGTATAAATATGTGTATATATATATATAAAAATATATATATATATAAATATGTATATATATATATATATATAAATATGTATATATATATATATATATATATATATATATATATATATATATATATATATAAATATGTATATATATATATATATAAAAAGAAACACTTTTATTTGGGTGTGATTAATTATTTCACAGTCCTAATTTATTTATATTTACATACATACTTTTATAATATGAATATTATTGTTATAATAAAATATGAAATACTGACAAAAAAGGCTTATTGTGTGGCAACCTCTTGGTGTAGCAGCATAATCCAGGTTTCAAATTAAAGGTAACACTTTGAAGTTTCATGTAGACTATTCGGATTAATATATTATATCAGGGGTAATTACACAAAAGTTCCTATTTTTAAACCATTATAAAAGTGACATTTATTTGCTATTAAAATTGGTACAATAGTCCCCTTCACAAGTATATATAGATGTAGCATGTTGAAATCCCCAACTACACTACTGTGATGGTATACACATGGAAGACAGAGATTTAAAAAATGACGCGAAAACATAGCTTGGCTAATGCCCTTTGAAAAGGAAGGTTTTATTGAGCTTCTGTATAATGTACAAGAGAGCGTTGTCCACAAGGCCATCAAAGCGGACAGGAAGGTAGCTGTGGTCATGTACTAGTGCAGGAATGTCAGCAAACGGGGATGGAAGATCTTCTCCTCCTGCTTACACATTATATAACCTGCAGAAACAAAAACAAAAGTGACCAACAACAATTCACGGTGTATAAGATTGGTATATCAATATGTGATTAAATTTCAATGATACACATGCCCTTTGAAGATGAGCTGGAAAGTTGAAAATGTTTGGCACAACACCATCTTTAAGTTGTCCAAATGAAACTAATACAAACTTATAAAAGCTTTGAGTCAACAACAATCTTGTAATACTATTATGTCAAAGCAAAAGTCTGGCATCTTCCTTTTAATAAACCCAGCAAATTCCTGTAACATAATGTAAGATGTGTTGACAAACCAAATCGATTGGAAATCATGTTCAATTCTGCCTCTTCCACTGATGTAAAGTTGCTGGTTAACGTTAGCAGCTAGCTAAACTGTAACGTTAGCTGCTAACTTACTAACGTTAGGTCTCACTTTGCAGCTTCTTGTTATTAGCCAGCTAACGTTAGGCTAATAATGAAAATACAACAACGCTCAGATTATTGTTATTAGCCAACTAATAACTACAACCACATCCACAAATATTGTAATTTACACCAAAGATTAATTGTCATACAATTGTTATTGGTGTCAGTAAAACCTATATAATTGACTAATAATCTCAGCCTTGATAACTTGCGCAAGTAGCCGTGATGCACAACTATGCTGCGCGATTAAGTCATTTTTCGACAAGAAAATCTGCAATTTCGACATGTTCAAGCATCAAGAATAATAGCCACGTTCATAATGTTTGTAAGAAACCAAACTGTTTGTAAATCCGTCAAGAATTCAGTGAGATAAGAGTATTTGTGTTCGTGCTGATCACTCACCTTACATTAAGTACCACAGAGCACAACAGAAAGCCTGCCTGAGGTAAGATGGCCGCCGGTGATGCCGTTTGAGACTCCGCCGTAAGACATCTAGCCTTTATTATGGATATCTATGGCAGCATTCCCGACAGACCATTTTACCTCATTCACAAGTTTCTGAATTCTGTGTCGCCGTTTCCCTCCCTTCAAACACACAGCAGTTCAGAGAGGGGAGGGGGAGTACAGTGACGTAACGCTATGCTGCGCCTTCAAAATAAAAGCACGCTAGTTAAAAAAAATGTCAAAATAATATGTTGCGGTACAATTTTTTGGGGGGGACATATCCACCTGGCTTTTATATTGGGGGGGACATGTCCCCCCCGTCCCCCCCGCTTCCTACGCCGCTGTCTGTCAGTATAAACTGCTGTCCAAGCATAGTTTTGCACTTGTCACACCATGTTTGTTCCATAATGTAATAAACCTCAGAGGCCATTACACAACATCTCTATACTGAGATTATATCAGTCTAATGGGGTTATTTCTGTGACTTCTAGAGACAATTGGTCAGTCCAGATTTTAAATGGAAATTCTACAAAACGGTACCTGCATGCTACACAGCAAGCAACCATCCAGTTTTATATAACTGTAAATATGAAACTGGTCATAGTTAAAAAAACGTGGGACATTGTATCATAAGATTTTTTTTTTTAAATACTAAAAGATTCAGATAATTGAAAACATGTTATGAAAAATGGAGCTGTTGCTAAAGGTTTAAAGAGGTTTATATTTCATATCTCATATTACAAGCAGTGCTGTTTATCACTCTGGAATTCTTTGTCACTACAGGAGGAAATCTGGCCTCTTTACCTGCAGGAGGTGGAGCTGCTAATGGTAGATGTAGAATTTCTATGAGTCTCTGTGGTGAAAATAGTTAGTCTTTTATTTTACTTATTTTTCTTCGTTTTTGCAGGATATGGATATAAAGCCGGAACAGCAAATCTGCAACAAATGAGAGGTGATAAAACCCAGATTTGGGTCTCAGTGTTGCTTTTGAAAGTGAATGTCTATATTTATATTTATAACATGTGAACAAATTATTATTTGGCTATTACTTAATCAGAAAAATACTATACAATATATATGTAAGATGTAAGGACCACTTGAGATGAGTATTTCAAACAAAAATGTGGACAGAAAATTACTTTTATTTTTTTTTTATTATTTAAGTTACATCTTATATAGCTAATTTGAAAAATAAAAGATATAAGACTGGTTTAACATAATTTAATTGAATTTAATCATTTGTTTTTGTATGGTTTCTATAGGTATAAATATCCAATGAAAGTAATAAAGCAAATAATTTGCTCTAGTTTATTTTAGGGTGGCTCCTTTCCTACATGTAGAACAGATTTTGTAATAATTTATATGTAAATGTTTGAGTAAAATTAACCATTTTCCTGAGGACAAAGCTAGACTTTGTGTTCTTGTCCTTATTTTCAGTTATGCTTCTAGAAGAAATCAAATTGAAAGACTCTTTTAAAGTGTGTTTTAACTGTTTTAAGACAATATGATTCCTGTATTTCTTGTAGAATATGGAGTTATATCTGGTCCATCCAGCAGACAACAACCCAGAGGTTGTATAAGTTGTTACATTTACTCATACTGTTCTGTTAAACCTCTCTTTAATGGTATTTTACTCTTGCAGGAGGTTACGAGGCTCCAGCTGGTAGATATTGTTAAGGAAGAAAATATTCTAAATAGTTAACTTTGGAAAAAGGTTGGGTGTTTCTCTTCCTCTCCCAGGTGCGCTCAGCGAGCTGCGTGTGGCCCCCAAGGAAAACCAGCAAGATATGCGAACGTCACAGAATCACAGAATTTAATCCAACAAAAAACAGCTTATGAATTAACAACAAAACTGCAGAACAACAGAAACATACATTCAGTTACCTGAGGTAAAGAAAAATAGAAAAGAGAGGCAAAGACGCGTCTTTGGAGAGAGCTGGTGCAAAAGCAAAAAAGTGGCAGCTATCTGAATTTTTGCCCCTGTGCCCAAAATTTTATAATGTAGATAAGTCCTTCCCTTTAGTATAAGGTCGTCCAGCTTGACCAATTGGAAGCTACTTTGGACACTCAGAAAAACTAATTTACGGCCGGGCCCCCCACTAGATTCTAAGGACATCTGGCTGTCATGAGATAAAGTTTAACAGAATCGATGTGGAATGTTGAGGGCCCCTTTCCTGCCATAAATCTCAAGAACAAACTTAAATTCAGTATTTTGGTTCAGGGAAAGGTTATCTTCACAGCTCAATCTTGCTCTTTTGCACCATTCCACCCCAAAAGATTGAATCCTGCCTTAAACCACATAGAATCAACAGAACATAAAATACAATTCCTTTTTCTCACATATAAAACATAATATTCAATCTAACATATTCAATTACCCCATTAAACCTATATCCTGAGCAATTTTCTAATAGTAAACAAAACATTTTCATTCAAACAATTTCAATTTGATTCTGATATTCACACAGATAGTACAACTTTCAATTAAAAAACATGATATTAATACTTAGAAAAATGTCTTAAAAACTAAATGTTAATGTTTTAACATTCTACATTTTATTCAGTATTACAGCATCTCAGATGTTTATTCTGGAAGACCTTTGATCTTCTGTAAACCAAAGAGACCTCTCCCCTGAGGCTCAACTGTTATTCACCCCCCAGGAGATACTCATTTTAAGGCCTCCTGTGCTTTGAATACTTACCCATTAGTAGTTTTAAATCATTAACACAGCCTTGTTCAAAATTCAGAAATATGGTCAAAATGAAAGTGTTCAACATACCTTTTACACACGCCATAAGATTAACTGTTTTAAAAACTAAAATAATCATTTTTCTTTAACAATATGTCGCACAAGGAACCAAAGGCAATGGTAATACAGTCTGTAATGAAGCACATTCCAAGTCAAATCAATATTTTTACATAAAGTTGTACTCATAAGTCTACAAACTTTGGCAGAATTAATTTTTGCCCTTTTTTTTTTTTAAGAATATAAGCCACAAGTACTTTTCTTCCACTCGTGGTTAATTGTGTTTCCTCTTTAAACCGTAATATCAACAGAAACATCCCAACTTTCAATAAGATCGAGGTTACCTTCTCCTAAAATAGTCTGTGTTTTGGATTCTTTTCATCTGGCCAAATGTTGGTTTTTCCCTTCTTAGTTTGACCTTTAACATGGCTTATAGTCATTTTTAAAGCCTATCTTTTCATATCCTTTTCTGTTTAATAACTATTTCTACCATCGTGCACATCTACAGTAAAAATTTAATCCTAATTATGAACCAGTGCTGTTAAGTTCAATTAATTATTCCAACTGGTAAGCATTTTTCTTATCTAAAGAAACACAATTGAGTGCAGAAAATTACAGAATTTCAAGATTAGTTAGCTCCTATTGAATGAGTATATAGTAAAAGTGGATAATTGCTTGTTGGCGTTAGTTTAGCAGTCATCTCTGATACTGAATATCATAAGCGTCGTTAGACCTATTTAAGGGTGGCTTCAGCCACCCTTTCTTTGGCATTAGCCACCCTATAATTATTTTGCGATTTTAAAAAATATATTTTTTTTTTCTGTATTTATTTTTTCCTCATATTTTCCCAAAACAAATGCAGTAAAGCACCGAATAAAAGCCATAAAGAAGACAAGTTAATCTGAACAATCATAGGCGTAACTTCCTTAAGGACTGGTGTGGACATGTCCCCACCAATATTTTGTACACGTATTTTGCTTTCGGTGCTGTGTATATCTGATTAAAACCCCATTCATGCCGCTCCTCAGAAAGAAAATAAAAAAAGTTCTCCCCGCTGCTCACCGTCCACAAACCCCGACAAAAAAACTCAGAACAAAGAATCTGTTGCCTCTCGCTTTCTCCCCATCACCCCCCTCCAACCTCTCCCCATAACATTTGAATTGAAGATATCCGCGGGTGACGGGTCGGGTTCGGTAGTCATCCTAACGGGTTCGGGCGGGTGCGGGTTGGTAAAACTCGACCCATGCAGGTCTCTAAGCTACACTACAGGTGCTGGTCATAAAATTAGAATATCATGAAAAAGTAGATTGATTTCAGTAATTCCATTTAAAAAGTGAAACTTGTATATTATATTCATACATTACATACAAACTCATATATTTCAGATGTTTATTTTGTTTAATTTTGATGATTACAAATGACAACAAATGAAAATCTCAAATTCATCATATCAGAAAATTAGAATATTGTGAAAAGGTTCAAAATTGATGGCCCCTGGTGCCACACTCTAATCAGCTAATTAACTCAAACCACCTGCAAAAGCCTTTAAATGGTCTTTCAGTCTAGTTCTATAGGCTACACAATCATGGGGAAGACTGCTGACTTGACAGTTGTCCAAAAGACGACCATCGACACCTTGCACAAGGAGGGCAAGACACAAAAGGTCATCGCTAAAGAGGCTGGCTGTTCACAGAGCTCAGTGTCCAAGCACATTAATAGAGAGGCGAAGGGAAGGAAAAGATGTGGTCGAAAAAAGTGTACAAGCAAGAGAGATAACCGCACCCTGGAGAGGATTGTGAAACAAAACCCATTCAAAAATGTGGGGGAGATTCACAAAGAGTGGACTGCAGCTGGAGTGAGTGCTTCAAGAACCACCACACACAGACGTATGAAAGACATGGGTTTCTGCTGTCGCATTCCTTGTGTCAAGCCACTCTTGAACCACAGACAGCGTCAGAAGCGTCTTGCCTGGGCTAAAGAGAAACAGGACTGGACTGCTGGTGAGTGGTCCAAAGTCATGTTCTCTGATGAAAGTAAATTTTGCATTTCCTTTGGAAATCAAGGTCCCAGAGTCTGGAGGAAAAGAAGAGAGGCACTTCATCCACGTTGCTTGAAGTCCAGTGTAAAGTTTCCACAGTCAGTGATGGTTTGGGGTGCCATGTCATCTGCTGGTGTTGGTCCATTGTGTTTTCTGAGGTCCAGGGTCAACGCAGCCACATACCAGGAAGTTTTAGAGCACTTCATGCTTCCTGCAGCTGACCAACTTTTTGGAGATGCAGATTTCATTTTCCAACAGGACTTGGCACCTGCACACAGTGCCAAAGCTACCAGTACCTGGTTGAAGGACCATGGTATCCCTGTTCTTAATTGGCCAGCAAACTCTCCTGACCTTAACCCCATAGAAAATCTATGGGGTATTGTGAAGAAGAAGATGCAATACACCAGACCCAACAATTCAGAAGAGCTAAAAGCCACTATTAGAGCAACCTGGGCTATCATAACACCTGAGCAGTGCCACAGACTGATCGACTCCATGCCACGCCGCATTGCTGCAGTAATACAGGCCAAAGGAGGCCCAACTAAATACTGAGTGCTGTACATGCTCATACTTTTCATGTTCATACTTTTCAGTTGGCCAACATTTCTATAAATCCTTTGTTTTTATTGGTCTTCAGTAATATTCTAATTTTCTGATATGATGAATTTGAGATTTTCATTTGTTGTCATTTGTAATCATCAAAATTAAACAAAATAAACATCTGAAATATATGAGTTTGTATGTAATGTATGAATATAATATACAAGTTTCACTTTTTAAATGGAATTACTGAAATCAATCTACTTTTTCATGATATTCTAATTTTATGACCAGCACCTGTACATTCAGTATCGTTGCCATAGAAACAGACAACAGCGCCAATATATCAGAATTATACTAAAACACACGCAAATAATTTCCCACATAAAAAACAGGACTTTCAGTCCATTACAGTTTTCCGTTTTTAGAGGGTTGTTTATTTTGCGTTTATTAAGTGATGGCTGTGGTATATTAGCTTTCACTGCTATAAGCTTTCGCAGCAGTGATTGATTAATTTAAACACCTGCTCCACTGATGGTCTATCGGAGTTGGTGTTTAGGTTGAACATAAAGAACACCTTTTATTTGAAGCTTCTTGTAGCTACTGTTTTAATCCCGGCTTTACTTAAAACTTTTTCCTGACTTTGATAGTGTTGCCATTCAGTTGCAAGCACTGCGCCCCTTTTTCTTTTATATGTACACGTACATTTAAGATTTAGCGTGTTATGTTGACAACTCATGAGCAAGCTGCTTTTTGCAATCTAGCAGGAAGGTAAGGATAGGATCTTGCAGGTGTGACGTCACTCTGCAGGGGGTCCAAAGATAAAAGATTTAAACAATTTTGGCATTGGAATTTCAGATTTAAGGGAGTTAGAAAGTTCACTTAGTAAAAGTGCAAATAATAAATCTGATTACCGATTACTTTTAAGCTGGTTGAACATACTGCGACAGACTGGTGACCTGTCCAGGGTGATCCCACCTCTCACCCAGAACGTGGCTGGAGATATGCACCAGCACCTCCTGATCCCACTGAGGGATAAGGTTAAAGAAAATGGATGGTTGAACATAGTCCGCTCTCCCAGATTCTATCAAATCAGTATTGATACCCTCAGGGGCGGATTTAGGAAATTTGGGGCCCTAGGCAAAGACAGGCAGGGGGCCCCCTGAGAAGAAAACCCATAAAACAGACCCATTCTACAGATAGAGAAATGTTAATAGAATAGACATCCATTATCTGTTCTAGGTTTTGTCCCTCTCTTCTTGTCCCTTTTTTCTCTCTATTTATCAGCGTTCTGATGGCATTTTAGCCAAAGGATTTTTATCAAAAACATAATTAATGTGCATAAATAAGGATTAGTTGTATTAACCATACATGGAAACAGAGTTTTATGGGGCCCCCAGAACTTGGGGCCCAAGGCAACTGCCTAGTATTGCCTAATGGTAAATCCCCCCCTGGATACCCTGCTAGTGGATGTTCTTGACAGAAAGACGGAGTTGCTTAATCATATTCTGCTTAAGGTCCCATAAGATCTTGTCCGAGTCCTGGTTTAAAAGTAAATTAATTTTAAAAAGTGACCCAAAATTGACTGTCAATAAATGTTCTACAAAATTGATATATTTATTTGATTTCTTTGATTTGTACTGTCTGTTTAGATTTATGTGATATTTTTTGCACAAAATATATAAGTGAATATTGTAACAGTTATGTTATGTTCGCATTTTTTTGGCTTTATCCTTTCCAACAAAAAAAAAAGGCGTCGCGCAGGTAGCTCCCTTTCCTTATGAGCCGTCCCCACCAACTTTCAACACAAAGTTACACCCTTGTCTTAGACAACGCCTTAGCAGGTGCACTGAAAAAATTCGGCGCGCGCTACGCGCGCGCATTATCTTCTAGGGGCTGAGCCACCCTTGTGTCTTAAACCTAGAGACGCCCCTGCTGAATATGCATATAGCAGCAGTGGAGAGAAGGCCTCCCCTTTAACAGGAAGAAACCTCCTGCAGAACCTGCTCGATGTGAACCACCATCTACCAGGACTGACTGCACTGGAAAAACAATCTAGAAATAAGTAAAAATTTCTTAAATTAAGTGTGTTTACCCTTAATTTGATTAGGTAAATTAGATAGTTTGCCAATGGAATGAGTATTTTTTAACTCTTAAAATAAGATTATTAGATAATATACACTTGACAAAAGGACAATGCAATTGTTTTGCCTTATTTTAAGTGTAAGTTGTCTTATTCCATCTGCAAAATGTCTCTTTTACCTCCTCAATCAAAGAAAAAATACACTTATTTTAAGAAAAAATTATTAATCTAGATTTCGATTGTTTCCAGTGTGGAGGTTTGAAAAAAAAGAAATGGGGAGTACAAGCTAAACTGTAAACAGGAATACTTTGTTTGAGAAAAAAGTTGAGACTTAATGGCAGCAGAAGATCCTTTAGTGGCTTAATCTAGGAGGGACACACAGCTAAAAAGATAAACCACATGCAATGCATGTAAGAGTTAGTGAAAGAAATAGCTTTTTCAATTGCTTCGTCTTAGCGACTCAAATTAAATACAGAGTCATGAGTATCACTCATAGAAAGAGTTCACAAAGGTAATGCAAGAAATAGTTCAGGTGAAAAATCAAAGCTGATGTGGAGCGATTACCTCAAAGAATCGTGAAACTAGTCTATTTTTTAGCGTACTTATTATTAGTCAAGATAATATTGATGTTTTCTATAAAAATGTAACTTCTGCTATTTAATATAAACCTATAATAACAACTGTAGACAAACAGAAAACATCTATTTTAATTTGTGCTTTTTTTAAATTCCAGGTTATAGTGCTCCTGCAGGTGCGTACGGTGGACAAGGAAATAAAGGTAACTGTACTTGATTATATTAAAAAATAAAATATCATGCATAATGAGAGCATAAAAGTGTCCTTTTAAGCTCTCATCCAGTGAAGAACTCGGCTGTTGCAGGTTACGCTGCTCAAGCAGGTGGATTCGCATCATATGGAGGACAAGACACTAAAGGCAACGGTAATCTCTTTGTGGACACACTGATCAAAATAGGCTGCATGTTTAATATTTTTGTTAGAGTGGCCAAAACCAGATACAGTCTTAAACAGTTTGGACTAAATTTGTGTTAAACCTTCTGAAAACATTTGGCCATTCCCTGTTAATAGTATGAAATTAATTATTCCTTAGGTCAAAGCCTTGCAGCTGGACCATCCAGTGGGACCCTCACAAGGCAAGATGGTAATAAATTTAAAAGTTACATGGTAGCTATTTTGTTCTTCCTCTATTGGCTCTCTGTGCATTAAATAATTCATTTTAAGATCCTAATGTTGGCTTAAAAACGGAAACCTCTGTACTGCTCATCACAATGATGAAATGTTTTCCCTTGAAACCATAAAACGATTCATGATTCATATAAAACTATGTTAAATTTGAAATATGTAATAAAAAAAACATAAATACGTACTTGAAGCATGTTATCCTTATTTAGCAGGTCAAGGAGGACATGGAGGGAATCCCATGAAGGGATATAACCAACCTCCTTTTAGGCCAGGTAATGTGGCTTTTATTTATTTTAAGAAACTCATAACTCAGACTATGACTAATCTTTTACATAATTTTTTCTGTCCCAGCGGTGGGAATGGGATATTTCAAAGGTCCCCAACCTGCCAGAAACCAAGGGCAGGGTAAGTGGAGGTAATTTCGCATTGCTAAGCGTACCCAACAATATATTAACTTGTTTGTATTTGTTTTTACAGCATATGCTGGTAATGGCTATAATGGGTACAGAACTAAAGGTGAGTAGATGCCTTTTGACAGTCAAAGACAATATCACTATTTTTATTTTCATAATCCAAAAACTAAAAAATACATTTAGAGGTATAAATGTCTTTAAAGGCACTTCTTATATTTAAACAATGTTTAAAGGTTTCAATGGCGGCTATGGCAGTGCTGGTTTGGGTCTGGGACCTCGGTATGGAAATGGAGCAAAGGGGCCAATGAAAGGTATGATTCTGCAGAACAAAAAATACTTCCTGACCATGTTTTTATATATAGCACAGAGTGAAAATATATATTTTTTAGGTTATGATGGATCAGCTGGTATAGTAAACGGACAAGGTTCACAATTGAATGGTAAATATTATTTATGATGGTCTATAAAACAAAAAAAACAAAATAACAATTTTAACTGTCCTAAATCATTTGAAAGGTCGTGCTGCAGTCAGATCACCAAATGGTAATGGAGCCATGCCAAATGGTCGTTTCTATATTTATTGGTATTATTACGTAGATATATGGGGTCAGATTCATACTAATTCTCATTTTCTGTGTAACTATTTAGGTTATGGAAACCTAAACAAAGGAGCTGCAAAGGCTGCTAAAACAGGTGATTGTTTTAGCACATTCCCCATGTGCACTAAAGATTTAATTTTTAATTGTTCTGTTTTACCCCTCATTTTTATTCCAAATGTTAAATTGTTGATGATTATTTCAATTTTCTTTTTAACAGAATTTTCCAATCACTTCAATAGTCGAGGTGCCATTTCTAAAGGTAAGAGCATTTCTCACATCTGACTAAGTGCATTTCCTAACTTTCAGCTGTCTTATCATGCAGTATTTGCAGTCAGCATATTTCTGATGCATTTTATGCTTTAACTGTTTGAATAGAGATTACCATACGACCCTCAGGAAATTGCATGAGCCAGCCTTGTAGTCTATACATTTCTGTCTGATATCTATCATATGAAAGATTCAAGAATGCATTTGTCCTTTTCCCTGAAAATACACCTGGCATTTCACAAACAGGTATATTTTATGTAACTCTTTCTGAAAAACAAACAAAGAAGAAATTCAGTCTGATTCAATTATAGATACTGGGAGAATTAAAAAGAGATTAGATGTTTTTTCACAAAATGTATCTACACTTCTTGCTTCAGCTTTATATTCTTTGAAATTAAATAGCCTTTAGTGCTGTAACAAAATAAACTAATGTCAGATGTATAGTGTAATTCTGACCCATTAACTTGCTCAATAAATGATCAGCCGGTTAAATTTTTCTGGTATCAACAGATCTTTCATGCAAATAGAAGTTTCTGCAGGACTGTTTGCTTTCTGCATTCAGAGTTACTGTATATCTGACTCACTCTTTACGCTGTTTTTACAAGCGGCACATAACCAAAGTGCAAAGCAGAAGCCAACATGGTTGCCTTTTATTTTGATAAGACTTGTTGATTATTTGGCTCACAATGCGAGCAGTTCTGAGTTAGTCTAAGGGAGACAGAAGTGACCTAAAAATTTTCCACTTTTCAAGTTCAGCGCTTTGGTGGGAGCATCACTGGATTTTAGATCAGGCAAAAATGCAAATAAAGACAGGTGGCTACAGCAGCCAGTACAGTCTCTCTGTCTAACCCTAACACTAACCCTTATATCAATCAAAATTATTTGAGCACCTATAATAAGGCCAAAACCACATAAAAGAAGGCTTTAATTTTTCAAAGTAGGCTAAATGGAAACCGCACATCTTATTGGGGGTAGGAATATGTAAAACTACACACCAACAACAGCCCAGTGGAGTTGTTGTTCCTAGGGAATTAAGAAATGCATCGCACTTGCAGACTTGCAATAAGATTTTGACATGCATATTATGTATGCTAACACTTTATTAAACATGTTTTTTGTGTGTCTTTTATGAGCAATTATAATATAATTAAATATCTTTTGGTAAATGAAGGGTATGGGAATTCCAGGGGAGTTGCTGCAATGCCTCAACAAGGTAATGCTCATGGTTCAAGATTTTATTAAAAGTTGTGAAACTCTTACGGACTTTTCTTTTATTTATGCATTTAATCTTAAGGGTATTCAAACGGAGCAAGTCCAAATGGGTATGGATACAACCCTATAGGTACTGGATCAACTTTTAATCATTATGAGATGTAATATTTCCTGGTTTACTGTTATACCACGATAACTGAGCGTGTCATTTATGTGTTTAACCCAAGGTTATGGAGCTGCTGCTGGAGCTGTCAAAGGATTTGGTCCCCAAATAAATGGTGACTGGTTTTATAATTATTATTTGACTGTTTGAGTGTTGTTATGATGAATTTAAATTTTTATCATTTATTGGTTGAAATTTTTTTTTACTTTTCCTTATTTTATGTTTTCCAATCTTCGTGGCAACTTGGTAATGTCATGTGTAAGGCCAAGGAGTTAGCAGAGCTGCTGCACAGGGGGGGCAAGGACCCAGACCTGAGGGTATGTCCTCTTTACAAAGATTTAGGTTTATCAAGTAAAGCCCTCTGAAATGTGTCATATCAGAAAATGCAAATTTTTTGGTTTTCAGGCTATGGATTGGTTAATGGAAAAGGTCAAGCTTTAAGAGGAGCAGATGTACCATATGGTAAAAGCCTTAAAGGCGGAGTTCTGCCTTCTCAACAACAGACTGCAGCATCAGTGAAGGGTGGAATACATCAGCAGGTTATAACTCCAGGTGAAGTACCTGCTGCTCCCAGTGCTACCAGTGGTTTCCACAACCAGGAGGCCAATGACAAGTACCAACAGCTGCATTCACCTGTGTTACAAAACAAAATGTACAAACAGACACAGCTAAACCTTGAGTCCAATCCAGAGTCAGCTCCAGCACTTCCTGCTGCCAGATACACCGACCGTCAGCCTGGACCTGAACTGGCACCTGTGGGTCTTCAGGATGGGGGTCAAAAAGGAACCATATATGGAACCGTACCAGAACCAAGAGCGGTTCTTCCTCCAGGCAAGTGAACTTATTTAAACATTAGAGTCCTTTTCCATGCTATAAAACTATCCTCTTTCATCTATTATCAATTATTTTATCAATTATTGTAAAGAAAAAATTAAGTACATTTTAATCAACAATTAAATATCTGAAAAATACAGTAAATACTACTTTTTGTAAAAAAAAAAAAAAGTTTGTTTATTTTTAAGTAATTTACATTAGAATTATATACATATTTATATGGGGTTAAACATTTTTATGCTTTAGACTTTTGTAAACATACTTTTATGTCTTTTCAGTAAATAAAATTTTTGTTTCAGATTAAAATACAATGTTAAAATCGGAGAAATTAAACTAATAATTGTTTTGCAAATCTATTAAGCCTATATCATTTTTGTTCTTAACCTGTAATTTACAGATAGCAAAACGTGCTTAGAAAAGGTTTTATTTTTGTACAGCACATGAGCCAATTAAGCTAAAAATACCATTGGCAAAATTCTGGATATATTAAAGCTTTTTCATAAAAAAATACAAATTATATATATTTTTACATTTTTTAATTGATAACTGTCCTAAGTGGATTGTTTGAGTCTGTGGACTCCAAAGATGATTTTTCAGATGTATTTTAGTAGCCTTTCAAATAAAAAAATCTCTTTAAAGTCATTTGAAATCTAGAAATAATATTACTCCATTTCAGATTACAATTCTTACACATATTGTTGTATTTTCTTGTCATAATTTTGTACTAAACCAATCTAAAACGTTATAATCTAAGATAAAATGAATAAAAATAAAATTTAAATAAATATTTTTTGTGTTTTTTTTTAACTAAAATCCACATTTATCACTGATTTTACTTTTACTGATTAACATGACACCAATGTAGTATTGATTTTCAAAGATCAGCAATTCACCACCCAAAAACTTTTAACTGGATATTTGAAACTAAGCCACTAAACTGACAACTTCTTTTCAACATATTAAAGTTGAATCTTAAATAACATGATGATTATGCGGTGTGCTACAAAGAGATGTTTACAGATGGTCAAAAACAGCCATCTCAGAATTTATTTAAACAATTTCCTTTCAGATCCCATTGAGTCTCTTAAAACACCTCTGCTGTAAATTATGTCTGACCTTCCCTGACTGTGAGGATTTGTTATTTATATGGTCATTTTGTTGGAAGGAAACTAAATGGTGATGACATGTGTGGCCTCTAGGTTATGTGGCTGGAAGTGCTGTTCCTGAGCAGAGCTCTGCAGAATCAGATGTTGTTTTTGGTGTAGATGGAACAGGTGACCATCAAAGTACCAGAGCCATAAAAACCAAAGCTGTTTCTGGGTCAGCTGAGAGCACAGATAATGTCTCTCCTGAGGAAACACAGAGTGTGGCTGCAGCAGAGAGGACATACGTCAAGAGTCAGCCTGAAACAGGACAGGGAAATCTCCCAGATGGGGAACCTGGTAAATGATTCCTGGATGCGAGCACCTTGACAGACTCAGACTGCATGTTCAACTGAACTGAGGAATGAAGGGTTTGCTGAGTTGCAAATTGCCGGTCTAACCTGCCTGATGTTTAAAAAAATCCCACTCTTCTCTGTAATGTCTTCCTCACCCACCGAGGATGCTGCTCCACAACCTTTTTAAAGAAATCAATGATATATATTCTACTAGACGAAATGGATTTTCTTCTTCCTTGTGTTTTGTTTTCTTTGCCAATAGTTTTGCAGATAAATCAACGCATGATTTTATTCTTTTGCATTTTGTGCATGAATTGAATTGCAAGTTTAACACATTTGATATATTTAATCAAAATGAGCAATCAATGCTGCAAAGAAAGGTTTTAGAAAAGACTTACATTTCTGTCTCTTGATTATTTGTTGTCAGAGAATGGCAGAGTTTCTGTCTCCGGCGGTCAAGGAGCTAAACCAGCCAAACCTGGTGAACATCCATTTTTTCTCTCCTAAATCTCAGTTTGATACAGTTTAGTTATGAGGTCTAAATTGATGAATAAACATGAGTAGAATATTTGAAGAAAAAAGATAGTTGGATTGTTTTTATATAGTTTAAACCTAAAATTGATATATTATATTAAAAACAAAGTTTATTTTTCATTTTATTTCCATATTTTGAGTCCTTATTCTTATTCTTTTGTTTTTGCAGACTGTGGACCATATGGACAATGGATGAAGAGATTAAAATCTGGTAAATTTACAGAATTATTGTGTGTGTATTTATATCAATGTGATCTAATGATGTAATGAGGATTTCCTGAAATTATCAAAAAGTTTAGAACCTATGTACTGCAAGCAAGAAAAATACCATTTATCTAGTCTATTTTTTTTAAATACTTTCCATCCCCTCATTAAATTAATCGTACTAAAAGACAGTCATAATCTCTAATAATTCTCCTATAGTTCTTTTAATATGAATTTGAAGATTTCCTCATACCTCCCTCCTCACTATGTGCGGTGGCAAAATGAACATAAGTGCTTATTCAGCCTTCTGAACACTTCCAGTTTCACTCTTATCCTTGTTGATAAAGCTCAAACTAATAAGTTTATAACTTTAGACAAATAGATGCTCTCCTGATGCCATTTCTTGACTTGTAAAAAGCAACACCCATCAGACGTCTGTGTTTTCTTGTGTTTTATATATTAAAAAGTGAAGAAAAAGTTATTAGATGCTTGAAATCATTTGCATATTAGAGTATAGATAAAAAAAAAGACATGTAACATATTTTGCAAAGGCATTAATCGCTGTGCTAAAAAAAAAAAATCTTAAATATATTTTTTTATTTTATCTAAAAGTATGATTAAACCTTCTGGTGTGAAATCCTGAAAAAGCAAACGAAGGTGAAGGTTTCAAAGTCCTGTTTACCGGTAGTTTTGCTGTGTCACTCTTCTGGAACTTGAAGCTGTTTGGTGCTTTATGAACCAAGGTGGTGATGAAGCAAAATAATACCTGCATGGTTAACATTTGCCCCAACTAAACAGTCTATTCTTCTTACCTCTGTGTATCTGTGTGCTTTTATTTACCTTTTACCTTCCTGCTCGTACACCTGAATTTCCTTAGTGGGAGACAACTTTTGATATTTCTATTTTATGCTATTTTAAATCTGGGACGAAGCTGTACAAATAGTTAATTTTTTCTGTTTTTCATTCTTACTTTCCTTGTAATTTAATTTTGGTCCTTATTCTTATTTTCTATTCTCTCCCTTTTTGACTTTTCTTATCTTTTGTCATATTTTCTTTTTGATTTCTTTTTATTTTCTCTCATTTTTTCTTACTTTAATTTTTGCTAAAAAGTTTTCATTTGTTCTTTAAATAAACCAACTTAGTTTTATTCTATCTTTAACAAATCTTTAATTATAAATTGATTTGATTGTGATTTGAGCTTGCCTGAAAAATAACTCATTCATGTATGCAGCAATTTCATCACTTTACCTGCTTTTATAAGCTTTTCGAACAGGTTTCAGCCTGAGTTTTAGTTAAGACATGTTTATCTGCAGGTTATAAAGGTAATCTCAACATTCCAGGAGTTGGTAATGGACATCGAGCAGGTAAATTGACTTGGTTACATCTGTTACATCTCATTTTTTTTTATCATATTGAAGTTCCATAAGTGGATTTTCCCTAACAGGTCTTGGGTATCCCCATGGTGGAAAAATTGCACAGCCTGGTAAAATATTTTATTCTCTAATTATTATTATTATTAATTTTTTTAATGATCATTAAAATGTTTTTGGTAACTGATCTGCATGATTGAAGGTTACGGACAAGGAATCCAGCCTGCAGCCGGTTATGGACATTTATATGGAGGTTTGGTGCCAAATACAAGTCTATACCTTTTCAAAATAGGATTTTGTTGTTTTTATATGCATTTTTTTGTCACATGATATGAGATGATGACGTTGCATGACTAAAGATGAGTTTTTTGTTGTTTTTTATAGTAGGAAACATGGGCTTAGGTAAAGCAGCCAAATTAGGTATGAAGCCTCCTCTAAAAATCTGCTGTTTTAATGTTTCTCAGATTACCTAACATCTGCATTTTAACTTTATTTATGCTCTTTATTCAGATCCTGTGAATAGTTTTGGTGTTGTTGGACAACCTGATTATGCAAGTACGAAAATTTACGCACATTTTGTTTAGAAAATCAGTTGTGGTTTATGTTAATCATCAGAAACTCACTATTTTTTGTTGTTTTTTTTAGCTCTTGGCCAAGTTACACCCATTGAGCAGTCAGGTATGAGTAAAGTTATATATGTGAAAAATAATCGGAGCCTAATGTCACTTAATGTGTGAAAATAATGCTAATTTTTCAGGCGGCACCATGCAGGTCTTATTTAGTGAAGCCCCAGTCATCTCTGCTGGAATTGATGGTAAGACCATCATTCTTTTGCTTCTTCTGAGCATCTTGCAGCAACAGCTTAATGAGGTTCTTCATTTTAATTAAGGAAAAAGTCAGCTGGAGGCTCAGGCTGCACGCTTTCTTCCAAATGGAGCGCCTCCTAGTGGCCAAACACTTGGAATGGCTTCAGAGAAATCCAACGCCAAATATGGTGAGTTCAGTGGACAAGTGATTCTCCAAACTAAATTAGTATATTATTCTACGTGTCCAGTAAAACTGTCAGTTTGTCCATGCTTCCTCAGGTGCTGGGCTACATATTGGCCAACCTGTCAATCTGGACAATAATGGTGTAAGAAATTATGGTATGTCTGTTACAGCTGCACGTTTTGACCTATAACTTCTGGACTTAATAAATACATTTTTGTCTTATGTCTCTTTAGGTTATGGAGTTAACCCATATGTGCCTGCAGGTGAAGCCAAAGCAAATGGAAAATATGGTGAGAACATGTTAGATTTGTAATAAAAACAATTGATCATCTGGGATATTTTAAACTTTTGACTCCTTTTACACAAAGATTAAAATTTTTCATCCATTTCATCAACGTAACCTTTTCAGCGCCAGTTAACTTTATTTTTATTTAACATTTACATTTAATGATAATTCTTTTAAATACAGCGTGCTGTAAAACAACTTGTCTTCATTTAGATTTTTTTTAGATCAGATTAACAGATTATCAAATACCTTGAGCCAATACAAACAGCTGTTTAAATAAATATTATTCACTAAGGGAATAAAACTATCCAACTACCTTGGGCCCATGTAAAAGATTAATTGCTTTCAACGAAAAACACAAATAAACTGAGATTTGCTATATTTTTCTTAGTCTTGGTTCAATTTTAAAGGACACACCCAGGCCTGATTATTACCAGACCTGTTGAAACATGACACAGCTTATGTAGAACACCTCTAACAACATGAAGAAGGCTAAAAGATTCCCAAAAGCACTGCTACTTGCTGCTTAAGAAAAATTATAAAATGGAAATAAAAAGGTAATTTGCCAAACTTATTCCTACAAGACTTTTAGGAAGGAGTGATGAGACAAAAGAAAAAGAAAAAACCTTTTTGGATGGTGTGAGTCATGTAACATATTGCTATTATAAAACAATAGCATTTCAGAAAAGGAATATAATACCAGCACTGAAATATGTTGGAGGTAAAATGATGGTTGGAGGCTGATTTGCTGTCGTGGGCTTAGATGACCTGTCATTTCTGAAACTGCAGTTTATCTGCAAGTCCACTCCTGATTATTTAATTAAAAGATAGATTAAAGTTCTGCAAGAGCGTAATCAAAGTTTGGGCAAAGATAATAATGAGATGTTACTTTAATCAGCCCATTTATGTGAAAAAAAATATCCACAGTGGCTAAACTAAAACAATTCAACAAAGAGGACGAAGCCTAACTTCCTCCCCAGCGATATAAAAACCAACTGGTCGCCATTGCATGTGTTTGATGGCAGCTGTAGCCTCCAGGGATGACATGTCTAGTTATCAGGTTCATGGGATGGATAACTTTTCATATAAGGCCAGATTGGTATGGATTTTTTTTTTTTTTTTTTTTTTTTTTTTTTTACAGTTATTAAGAATTAATTCAGATAAACCAGCCTTATCTTTCCTATATTGATATCCTTTGATTATAACTGCTCAAATTAAAAAAGCTGTTGTTCATCCCTTGCTGTACAGTTTAATAAACTAGACAGCTGAAACATTACTCAAAATGTAATGTAAAGTCATTGCTACCTTTTCAACATGCTTACAGAGGGCCTTGGTGTCAGTGTGAGGGAGGACCCTATGTCTGCACAATACGGTCAGTCTAACAATAAACATGAAAGCTGCATTTTTATTTTTTTTTTATATTAAACGCCTGACTAGAGAACAGCTTCCTCATTACAGTTTTTTTTTTTTAAACAAATGATTCTGATTTTTTTTCAGGACAAGGAGGGATTCTCAACAGTGGACAATTTTTAGGCCTTGGTAGTGAAGGAAATATACCAGGAAAATATGGTACACAATTAACTCCTTCTGATTTAAAAGCGAAAAACAATTTACCAGTAATGGTGTTACCAATTGTCCTTCATCCTTATCAGGTTATGAGACACTTCCTTATGATGTTCAACCAGCTGGCCTAACTCCTGGGGCAACATCTACAGGTCAGTATGGTTAAATATTAAAGAAAAGCATATAATAATCTGAGCATGCAATAACCTGTTTCTCTATATTTGACACCCGGTGCAATAAATATATATATATATATATACATGAATATCCCTCTATATAAATATGCAATAACCCTGTATAATATTCCTGCTATTAAAAAAAAGAAAAAAAAAAGCTGTCATATGTGGATGCACTGTATATAGCCCATGCACCTTTTCTTCCCTTGGCATTTTCTTCTATTTTGACTATTTGAACTGGTGTAACGAGTAAATTTCTCCACTGTGTCAATAAAGCCAATCAATTAATCATGTCAGCAGTGGAGATACATTCACTAAATAGCCTTCAGCTCACACAAATAAATAAAAAATCCAAACATTTAGATAATATCGATGGCATAACTACTGAGATCCTGATCAATTATGACCAAGGGAAGTCAGAAATTGTCTCTGTTCAGGAGATTTTTTTCCGTATATGACCAGCTGAGAGCTTATTCCACTAACCTTGAGTGATTGCAGTTCCATGTAGATTTAAAAACGTGTCACAAACACTGACAGTATAAAGCTTGAAAAAGGCAAGCTTCAACATACGCATGCATTGATTGTTTAGTTAATTATTCATATCCTGTAATGCAGGTCCCATTGGATCACCATACCATTCTGCACCATCCGGCTTTGAAAATAATGGGAAAGACGTATCAAAATATGGTAATTATTTATCAAACGCAACATCATTAAAATAAATTAACCTGTTTATCGGATTTGCCAAGAATCTAAATATTATCAACTACGAAGTATCAACCCGTTACCACTTAGCATCCTTAAAGCTACATTATAGTTCTTTTATAATTTTTATTCATAGTTCTGATTGTTAATATTTCAAAGATTATGTGTGAAGCTCTTTTCTTGTGGTGTATGATAACACCTGTTATCAATTGATAATCTGCTATCAATTGATAACAGGTGTGTGAAAGCTGGGAAGCATCTAAAACATGCAGGGCAGTGTGCCTTGAGGACCTAAATGAAATTTTCTTTGAAAAAAAAAAAAATCATATTTATTTTAGGTAATTGCAAGGAATGATGCAAGTTGTGATACGGATAATTAGATAACTAACTAGATAAAAACTAGTGTTGCGCCGATGCCATTTTTTGGCCCCGATACCCGATACCTGGCTGTGCAGTATTGGCCAATACCACAACGATACTCTCTGTTTGAAACTGATGTGTGTGTGTGTGTGTGTGTGTGTGTATACATGAAGAACAACATACTACTTGGATGTAGAATAATGGCCATCATGTCTTTGTCAAGCTGCTGCCTACCTTTGTGAAGCAGGAAAAAGACTAAAACAAAGTGAATCCAGTAGAACTTTTTATTGCCCACCTGGAATAGGTGACAATAGTTGAATAACTTTTGGCTCTCAAAACGGTATTGGTGCCCTATTTGTGGGTGCTCACCGATACGACCATTTTAGTGCTGGATCAGGGCCCTGTCCGATACTGGTATCGGTGCAACACTAGTAAAAACAAATTATTGTAAAGGATTTTTTTTCTTTTCGCTGAAAACGTTAGAGATTTCCCAAACAGGACTGGCTGAAATAGCTCATTATTAGATCGTTCATAGTGGCTCCTGATGAATTTGAGCTGTAATGTCATAAAACTCAACTATGTTTTTATATTTAAAGGGAAAAGGAACAGCTTTCATTTTGAATCTGCAAAGAAATTTTGCAAGAGAAGACATTTATGCTCACGGACGACTGTGTGGTGCTGAATTTCTTTTTTTTTTTTGTGCGCATGACAAGAGGCTAAAAGTAGTGTGCTTTTTTTTAAAAAAAAACTGTCATTGCTTTCAAAAATTAAAGAATTTATCAAATGTATTTATCAAAAAAAAGAGAATTAGATAAATATTAGCATTAAAGAATTATTTACAGTATAGAAATATTTAACTGTTTCTTTTTTCCCCTCCGATAGCTCGATATTTTAGTTTCATATTTAAGTAACCCAAAGCAGGTGTGCATTAACACAGTTAAATGTTTTTCTTTTTCAGATCACATTTTTTTTTACTTTATTCACCTGAACTACCGTAACTTGTATCACCAGTTTCATACTGAGTCTACTGTGTAGATTTTATGAGAAATTGAAATTGCTCATTGGATTGGATAGGTTGTACATATCTGGTCTAGGCTAACTTTAGCATGTTTACTTTCTGTTTTGATACGACTTGTTAATAATTCTGCTCCTTACATAATTTGATATAGTTTTTCTAAATCTGGTCTGAACATATAAAAACATGCACAGTTCTCCTGCTTTATAAAATTAGCACTTGAATATAGTAAAATTTGATAAATGGTGTTTTAGCTGCTCAGACAGACGGGGAACTGCTGCAGTCAATTCAGTTTCTTTTTGTTTGAAATTTAGGGAGAAGCCAATTTAATTGGAGCAATAAAAACAATGTGCCTGGAGTAAAATAAATTTTTTGACAGCAGTGAGTGTGAAGCTTGCACACATCACTAGTGTTTTTTGTTTATAATTTGAAATGTCCGTTTTATGTGCCATCGGCTATAGGTGACAGAGAAGTTCCCTATGTTCCACAGATTCTTGGATTTGGGGGAGAAGCACAAAATGCAAAATACGGTAATTTGATTTTGGGTATTTGTATCTTTTCTTTTTCTCCGCAACTCATAAATGACCCCATTTCCATTTCCCAGCAGGTGCACAAGGAGTTTACCAGACACAGCCTCTTGAACCTGCAACTGGAGGTAGAAAACATGAAAAATGCATTGTTATGCCTTATGCGGTTTGCTTAATGTATAAAATATGGTAATATCATTGAATTTGCAGATATGACTGGCATGATGTACGACCACCAAACTACAAAAACAGAGTCGGCAGGAAAACCCTATGGTAACTATATATTTATATTTGTTTATATGTGTGTGTGTGTGTGTATATATGTATATGTATATATATATGTGTATATGTATATATATGTGTATATGTATATATATGTGTATATGTATATATATGTATATATATGTATGTATGTATATATATATATATATATATATATATATATATATATATATATATATATATATATATATGTGTGTGTGTATGTATGTATGTATGTATGTCTGCACACGTGTATAAATATTTCACAATTTTCTTGAAATCTAGTAAAAGGAGAGGTTCCATCATCAGCTTTTACAGTTCAAGGTGAGTGATTATCTGTTCAAAGAACATGAATGAATTAGACCTACATCAGTTATTCTCTTCTAACAGGATATTTTTTGGTTATATTTTCCTGACCATTAGAAAACGTGGGGTACATTAGAGGAAACATGAATCTAGAAGGTAAAGCACACATCATATTCAGAACAAAAGCATAAAGAAATTTATATAATTGTAATTCGATATAAAACCCCCTATGTTGCATTTCCTGCAGCTCCCACTTCCAGCCCTGCCACAGAGCACTCGCACAACCTTCCAGGTTCCTTTACAACAGATGACAGCATGCAGGATTTAACCAATGCTGATGGCAGAACTGCTCCAGAGTCACAAGGCGAGCATCATGTTTCTGATCATGAAGACGAGCAGCTGCCACGTCAGATTCAAATCCAGCAGCATCTCAAACTACATTTTCACCCACAAGGCAAGTGTCGGAGCATGTAAAGTATTTACACTCATTTAACAGATCCATATTACAACTGATGTGTCTTACAAATATCTTGAGATTTTTTGTCATAGAAAGTTGATCACAATCATTCTTGTTAAAACCTTTTTTTTCTTCTAGATGCTTTTCATAAACATGTGCGACACCAAATTGATTAGATTTTTCTTGCAAATTAACTTTCTTGACTCTAAGAATTTTGTCATGGCAACGAAGTAAATAAGCCAACGTAAAAATAAAAAAAACCACAAAGCTTTTAACATTAGCTTTGATGATCCCACCAATATATTTTGCAGTAAGGTAGATGGGGTCACTGTTTATTGTTAGTTTTTCAATCCACCCATTAAAAGCAGCGCATTCATCTAACTGCTGAATCCTCTGCATGGCTTTTGGACAACTTTTACAGAGCTGTCAAAATCTAAACAGAAGCTGAAAACTTTTGCATGTTAAAAAAAACATAGCTGATAGGACATAACTATGTAATAACCAGGTTATTTCTAGTTTTTTACTTTCACACTTTTGCACAGACAGATTTTCTTGTTGTTGTTGAATTATTGTTATTATTATTAAGGTAGTCAATAATAGATGTACAATTTTACGATCCAACAATTTGTGAATAAAAATCTTAAAATAAGTGTATTTACCCTTAATTTGTGCAGCTAAGTAAGATTATCAGCCAATGAAATTAGTATTTTCACCCTTAAAATAAGATTATTAGATATTATGCACTTATAATAAGAGCCTGTAGTTGTGTTCTCTTATTTTAAATTTAAGTGGTCTTATTCCTTTGGCACCTACTTGCTCAAGTTAAGAAAAACAATGCACTTATTTTAACAACAATTGACTTGGATTTCAGTTTTTTTGCAGATGAAAAAAGTCTTCTTTTTACTAGACCAAAAGGCATTTTAACAGATATTTTCATAGATATTTTTGTAGCTTTTCTAAACTTTTATGATGTGCATTTCTATTTTTAGGGGAAAAGAAATTTGATTTGAATGGCTTCTTTGGGAATAGTGACCATCAAGGTAAGCATCATTTTGTCAAAAATAAAAAGTTTCCTTCATTTTACTGTCCTTACTAACTAATAAATGTCTTTTCTCCTAGATTGACTCGGCTGAGAAAACACAAAAATGCCTGCCATTTTTCCCAACCCAAAAAACTTTACAAACAAACCCAGTATGATGATATTCTTCTGTTATTATGCTGTAAGAAAGAATGTGGTAAAATCACTCCAATAAAATCTACCAATACGGTATATTGATTGGATCAGCTTTTATAATCTGTTAGATGTCAGTCATAATATTTATATAAGGAAATATAAATATGAATATAAGGAAAGCAAACAAAGTTCCTCTTTAAAAACCAGATTAGCTGAAATAGATGTATTTGTTTCAGTAAAAAAAATAAATTCACTATATAGGGGTCTAAATTACCCTTATAGGCCCACAAAACCTAAGGTGTGCCTCTGCCACCAGCATGCACATGGACACCTGACAGATATTAAACACCTTGAAGGTAAAATCTGCTGCTTTTATCTATTAAATATTCCCAAAAAACCCACTGTCCATTGCATTCTTACTTGAAAAACTGCATTGTTCATTTCAACCTTCTCAAAACTATGAAATCCATGCCTGAATGCCTTCATTTAAACTCACCTGTGCACAATACAGATGAAAATATTTTGGATTAATCATGGGATGCATGTAAGCATTTTATTAGTATTTATAAGCAATATTAACAAAAATGCTTATCTGCAGTGAGAAATACAACCACACCATAGTTTGAATATGAAATCAAAGATGGAAGCAAACAAACCAACAAAGGGGGAACTATAAAGGAGCCTGTTTTTGTATTTTATTTTCCTCTTTGTTTGTATGCAGAAGAACTCTTTCACCATAATAAGCTGCAGTTTTGTTTTACTTTATTTCCCAGCAGGTAATGTTTTTATTTTTCATTTAATGTGTGAAAATTCTATTTCTTTTCTTAAATAAGCTCTTTTTTATTTTGCAAGGATGGCAGAACTTTTCCTCTTAATTCTGTAATAGTGTTTCAGTGTAATTTATGAAAGAGGAAACTGTTGTTTTTGTACCAGGCAATGTGTTTATTGTACAGAATTTGATTAAAAACAATCCAGACCCAACTTCTGTCTTTTGTTTGCATCTTTACCAGAAAAAGTAAAATCAGAAAAGCATTGCATGATTTATTTCTAACATTTTCACCAGTTTTGTTTTATTTTCACCATGTATTTAATTCTCTTCTGTGGAGTTAAAGCGTGAGTTAGTTATTAACAATGACAAGGAGAAGCTGCATCAGTGCACACGTTCTTTTGCAGGGATTACCTCAGATTAGGAAGCAAAACCTACTGCTGATTGGTTGTGCTCAAACCATGCGACTTAGACAGCTCAACAAGTTGCCTGCTTGGAATTACACCTGTCCGACGATGGGTCTCAGAGAGCTGAGGGCTGCTGGTGGCTGAGCGTCCTGAGCACAACCTCTGTTAGGATGTAAATGTAGAGGAACTCGTAGAATAGGGCACTGCCTGCACAGAGTCGTGATGGTTCTTTATCAAGGACCACGGCTCTTGGACTTCACAAAGACCCCTCCTCACCTGCAGTTCAACAAGTATGTCCTGACTGGATACCGTCCCGTGTCCACAGCCCGGGAATGCCTCAGGAGCCTCTTCTACATGCACAACGAGCTAGGGAACATTTACACTCATGGTAGGTCTTCATTTCAAAACTCAGTGGTGCTATTCTGATTTTAAAAATCCACTCCAGAAATGGTCAAATTACATTTTAATAGTAGAATAGGTCACCTCAGCACATGGTTTGTACTTTCACTTATGCCGGTTACAGGCATCCTTGAGGGAGGTGTAATGAGGATCTGGGGTATTAGCTCTAATCTGCCCCTGGGAATCCCATAGTTGGAAATATCCGTCAGTTAACTGGGTCTTTAAAGGTGACTGATGCTGCTGGGGTTAAGGAACCAGCAGAGAATGGGACATAATATTTGTCCACTTATTTCAACCTTTTATTTATTTTTAACCTGCAAAATAAAAACAAAAGCAATTGAAATATAAATGATGGCATGACCTTAATCACTACAACAATCGTAAAACTCCCTGAAATTTAATTAATAGTGACACTCTTAGTGGGAGGAAGTCAGTGGTGGCGTTAACATGCCCCATGTGTTTGAGCTACTGCCATTCAAATTGCCCACTATTTTAAATAAAAACCCAAGAGGGACCATTTTCTGTTTCTTTCCCAACTGGAGCTGCATAAGAGGATGCAGCTGTTATGATTAAATGTAAATACTGAAGGACATTCTTTCATATTTTCCCATAACTCAATATGTTTTGGATTCAGAGCACCTTTGCAAACCTTCCTTTTATCACCCCTTTAGGAATCCCCTTCCTCCTTTTCTTGGTACTGCTGCCTTGCAGTATCCCCTGGATGGAGGTGGACAGCACCTGGATATGTGTGGCCCACTACCTGGCCTGCCTCTGCCCCACCATCGGCTCAGTCCTCTATCATTTGTTTATGAATCACATCGGAGGTCAGCATGTCTACAACACTCTGCTCTCTCTGGACATGCTTGGGGTCTGCCTCGTTAACACACTGGGTAAGACTCCTATGATTCCACCAATGCAAGCTCAGACCTTTAGATATGATTCAATGCTTTAGACGCATCTCAGCTACAGTGATGTTAAATGTATCAGATGCATTAGGTGATAGCAGCTCCTTACAATAAGAGTTTTTAATTATCCTAAAAACATAGTTTGCTGTAAGGTGGTAGCAGTGTTCTTGCAGAAAGGTTTGGGTAAGAATGCTGATCTGTGTTTCTTTCTGCATGGATTGTGCATGTTCTCCCAGTAATGAATGCTGGAGGTAAACAATGTATGGGATGGATATATATTGCTTAAAATTCTTGAAACCAAGTTTTGTCTTTTCTGATTCACCTAAGAAGTAAACGCGCATTTATAATATACGTTTAGTATAATCGTAATCATTTGAGAATCTGTCACTTGGATCATGAGTGCTTTAAGATGCTTTTACCAATACATTAGCTGCATAAGATGTTTCTTTGCAGCCATTATGATTGAATGTATATATTAAATATATTGGCTCCTCATAGGCTGCAGCACATGGCCTTCAAAAATCTAGTTATGTCCTACAATGTCAGGGTGCTTCCTGCCAAGGCACTAAATAAGAATGTCAGGGTTTAAAAGCAGCAAGTAAGTGAGTTTGAATTAATTTATGTGGCTATAAGCACTGACAGGGGTAACCATGGTTTTAATTTATCCCCAGTTCTGCTATTTCATGCTGCAACTTAGCAGCTCCAAGGTTTTTGTCTTCATCAACTTTGCAGTCACAGACATTTTTTCCGGTTTTGCCAGAAATGCTTGATTTAACTATTACAGTAAAGTCATGGATCTCAAATTTATATCCTCGAAGGCTGCTGTTCCTAAATCAAATGGCCACAATGTCACCAACAAGCTGAGCTCACATTTGTGTTATTTTTCAGGCTTTACATATAAAAGTATGAGCTGTAGATATCTGAAGCTCCTGCGGAGTTATGACTGGCTGCTGCTTCTTTGATTTAACGCCCTGCATGGTGGCTCTGTCAGGCGTCTGTCCTGATGGCTCTAAATTCGTTCCATCTCCAGATGATCGACTGAACAGAGCTCTGCAAGATGTTCAAAGCTTAAACAACCCCACTTAGATGTCTCTAGGACTTTTTTCCTGCGGTGTTCCTTCATCTTCATGACACTGTTTTCCAACAAAGGATTCTCAGATTAAATCAAAGGTGGAGTCTTCCATTTGTTTAATTTCTCTGATTTTTTTCTAGACATACAAAAAGTAAAGTGAATTAAATATTTACTCAATTCACTTTAGCTCAATATTTGTAAAGAAATAAAATAATTTATATATAAAATCTTAAAAGGATTACTTTTGGAATTAGAGCTGCTGAATTAGAGGAAAGTATCCATACGTTTTCAAATAAATATCTAATGCAGTTGTATGAAAGTTCTTTTAAGAGATTTTTAGAGTTTCCTCTAATAATCTCGCAATCACATTCGTTTGAAGTAGCTGTTAATGTGTATTAACCTGTTGTCACCTCTCTTCCTGCAGGAGCTCTTCCCATTATTTACATCACCCTCCTCTGCTATCCCACCGTCCAAAAGATTGCCTTGTTGGCGTACATCCTCCTGTCAGCCTATGGGATCTACTGCGCCACCACGGCCCACACCAACTTCCTGCGACTTCGGGCTTTTGTCTGGCAGGCATTGTTCCGCTTCAGCCTCTTCCTGTTCCGGGTTTACGGTAACGGGGCGGGCAGCCAAGACTCCCTGCGGCTCTTCGTCATCATGGACAGTCTGGCTGTACTGGGAGGGTTAGTCAACGTCGTCCAGATCCCCGAGCGCTTCAGCCCCGGCCTGTTTGACAACTGGGGCAACAGCCACCAGATCATGCACGTCATGGTGATCTGCTCTATTATCTACCTGCACTGGGGCACCATGGAGGATTTAGCCTGGATTAACAGTTTCCAGTGTCCTGTTGAGTGATGCAGAAGTTGACTTGGTGGCTCTGACCCGGTCCGTTTCAAAATGCACTTTAGTCCTAGTCGCTCAAACTCTTCAGCAGAAGTTCATAATGCCAGAGAAGAAAAAGGGGAACCAACAGCACTGTTACTGAACTCTGATATCCCGTTATCAGATTGAAATCCTGAGCATACTTGATTCATAGTTTGCTAATTTGCAGTAGCTTGTGGGATATAACCCATTACTAAAGAAAAGCCTGCAAACTTGCAATGCACAATAAAGTTTATATTTTTATATCTTGGGCTTAAGTGTATATTTCATGCCTGGTAAAAACTATTCATGAGACGAAGTGGAACAAATTGTGGTTCTCTTGTTTAATCTCAAAGAAAAATTAGGTCTCTGTACATTTTGAAGGGAAAAATCTGTTTGAATCTGGATTTGGCAACAACTGGATGATGGTCTAGCTAAATCTAGCCCTCAAAAGCATCAATTCTATCAACACTGGAAAATAATGGCCACTTAGAGAAAGCAGGTGTTTTAATGATGCAAAGATCCTGCTATGGTCCAACAGTTTGTTTCTAAACACACAATCACTGCAAAGGTGTGTGATTTGTGACAGTGGGGGATCCGGGTTTTTTCGGCTGCTGAGGAAGACTTTGGCCAATCAATGTAGATCAGTCTTCTCCCGAGCTACTGTCTTCCTCTGCGTCTGATAGATCAGCGATGGGAAAGCGCAGGATGGCGGCCACGCCGCTCAGCTGAGTCAGCTCTGAGGAGACAATTCAGGATTTTTAACAACTCAAAAACACCAAAACATGCCTTTTTCTACATGAATAAATGTCATTAGGAATGGAATATGGGCAGATGACAAGGCAAACTGCATATTTGGCATTTACTTGATTGAAAATACAGTTGCATCATTTATACTGAATTAGATAAACAATATAAACTATAATGATAAATGTATTTATGTACAGATTGGCACCCCTGCTTAAAGATAAAAAGGAAAATACATTCAGCTTTCATTTACATGATTTTTTTCAAAAATAATAGTTTCCAGACTAGCAAATTTTGGCCATTAAGTTGCAAATAAATATAATAATTTTTTCTAATACTAAATTATTCTGCTTTCGAAAAAATTATACTTTTAAGAATAAAAGAAAACCTACTACAGTCTGACAATGAGTGTTACATTGTGACCTTTAAAAGGTTTGCATGCAAAACAGATTAGAAACTTGTTGCCGTGTGCAAAGCTGATCTACTAACCACGCAGCTCACTTTGAACCGCATGTTGAAAATGTGCAGAAAAAATGCTAATGCAAAAATGTCTGAATTTAGTACCCGCAAAAGAGGTAAAATGAGAATCTTTAAACATATGTGGGTGGTCCGAAATGAAATTAATATAATTTTAGTAGGGAAAAATATGGGACAGAAGAATGCAGTAAGAAGCTGGATAAATAAAAGATAAATTAAATGTTTGCTAACACCAACCAAATGTTACCGGCTATCAAATAGCTGGTATTAAATAGTCTGTAAAAAGAGCAGTCAAGCATGACTTGCTGGCTGGGAGGAGTTCAACTTACATCACCTTTAAGGTCATATGAGGTCAGAGTAAAATCCATTGACCTTGGGTTTAGCTTTTCTCCAAAACGTGCAGAGTGAGATGTTTTTGTGCAAGCTTTACAGAATCTTATTTGCAAAAGTAAACAAACGAGCTGTTAGAGGAGTTTTTTGTTTGTTTTTTTATGTAAAACAGCTTGAAAATAGAGTAGAACTATAAATTGAATCTGAATTAACAAACCAGAGTGGTATTTATTTAGGTATTTATTGCAAAAATGTTGCAGCTGTGCCCTTGCAGTAGGGTGTTTCTCCTTAATTTCACCAGGAGGTGTTTGTGTGTTTGGGGTGGGGCCAAATATGATTTAGATTTATCTGTGAAAGTCATATATTAAATCTTTTAACTTACGTTCATCTTTTATTTGTAGCAGTTTTAAATCCTTCTTTGGGCATTGAAAAAATTTAATAAAAGTGATCTCCAACTGTATGACTGCTACCAAACCATCCATAACACACATGCTGTCCTTATTCAAATAGTTCAAACTGAACTGGTTTTGTCTCTGCTAACTATTGTGTTCGTAATCTTTGCAGAATCCTCACAACACACCCAGCTATACCTCAGCTAATTGTATAATGCATTGTCCTGTGATTTAACCAGACTCTGTGGTGAAACTTCAAGTCTGGTTCAACCTGAATTTTAAAATTGGCGTGCCTTCAAGCAGGACATTAAAACAAAAAACAAAAATACAGATAGATAAAATGCTAAAATCAAGGGGGAGACAAGTCAACCAACGACTTTACAGAGCATCATTTAATTTTTTTTCCCTCTTTAAATATTATAGACAGGGTGGAAAATCAAACTCTTCAAACAAACTTCAAGACATTTTACTCCAGAATTTGAACAGTTTAAAGTTATTTACAGTCATTGTAGCCCATGCCGTTAAAAGTTTATTTTTTATACGTTTATAGCTTAAAGGAAGTGGAGGATTCTTCACTATGACTCTAAATCTCATCTCTCTTTTCCACTCAGCCTCACTGCTATATTATCTAAAACTTTTAGGTGAGACAGAGAGACATTTTATTTCATATAAAATAAAAAAAGTAAGTTTTTGTGTTTTTCTTTGGGACCCAAACCAAATACATCTGGATCGAATCTACATCTTGTGTAGCGTGTTTACATTTATGATGCTAGAAGAGGTTAAGCTTTGTTTCATAGCTGGGGTCCCAAACATCTGGATCACTTTAACAGCATCTAATAGACCTTAGAAGCCGTTGTAGCAGCTCTCATACAGCCAGTTTCTGATTTTTAGTTTTTGGTTTACCCCCGTAACAAATCTGCAACCTGGAGTTGTCCTTCCCGTTTTACAGTTACAGTAGGTAGCTTATTTATAAATTATTAGTAAAAATGTCACTACATCCTGACAGCAGAACAGCGTTTCTTTAAGGCTTTTGAGGGCTGCATCAATAGAACCTTTTAATGTGTTTCTGTGCACCTTTTTAGTAAACAAGTCCATTAAGAGAGCGGTTATATGAGAGTACGTTTTAATTATCCTAAAGACTGATGATTTGAAAGCATCTAAAAAAAAAAAAAAAAATGACTTCATCAGGGATTTTGCTCTTTCAATTATAGATATTTATTTTTATAAAGCTGTTTCTTAAAAGGAAAACGTTTGTTTTTATTTGTTCAATTAAGTGCAATTCTGAAAGGACAGAACATAGAAAATTCACAGCCTTATAAAACTTGAATATCCAGGCTAACCGCAGAACATAATGCAAACATAGACTTTAAGTCTAATTTCACCTCTGTTGTGTTTACTACTGGCTTTATCTGAATCGCACACACTTGTCTATTTTCCATAACCATTATTTAAGAGAGAACATTTTCTAACCCCATATTAAAGAAAAACGTTATTCAGACAAAATGTTTGTAACTTACGTTCCCCAGAGACATGAAGGCTTGAGAATATTCTGCACAGAAGAAAAAAAAATGAAAATGTTTACAAAGAACAAATATTAAATGTACATATATAGTAACTTTCTGTAGGCGGGTTGTTAATGGAAAGTTACCTGACATTTCCACCGTTGTCTCTTACGTTGTCGACCAGCCGCACATAACGACTCCGTGTCTGAATGTCCTGATGTCTGGAGGCAAAACAAAAACAACATATATGCAGTTGTTGCACTGAGATGGATTGTTTCTGCTGCTTCCAAAGTTTCCACAGCAGATTTCAAAGGTGAATATTAAAGGTCTCCAGAGACACAGAAGGCTGCGTGGATATGTGGAACAATGGACCAATGGAGGCTGAATTCTGGGTTAAAATCAGATGAAAATGTTAAGTTTAGCAGCAACCTCTTGATCCTGCGAACCCATCGGAGCTCCAGGAGTCTCCTCTCTTTACGCACCTGAACAACTTATCGCTTATCAGCAGGGTGTCGATGGCCAGCGCGTCAGCAGCTTTTTCTACGTGAGCAACACTAAGGATGTAAATGAGAACAAAATGAGTGGAATTGCTGCTGATCCCAAACTGCTTGCTCTTGCTGATGGTTCCTCACCCATAGAAGGCTCTGTCGGGCTCGTGCTGCAGCATCTTGTAGAAATCTTCCAGGGCTTTCACCTCTCCAGCTGCCTGGAGGTTTCACAGAAATGGGAAAATCCATTTGGAATTAGTAAAACACTAAGTCATAAAAAGTTAGATCTAAATTGCGATTATTTTAAACCAATACTGCGATTACGATTTAATTTTGGCTTCCTTTGAACATAGATCTGCATGATAGCTGGAACTATTTTCCCACTCTAAACATATTTCCACCACTTAAAAGGCTGGAGTGAGAAAACATTAGTATCTCACTCTTATTAATTGTAATATGATCAAAATTTTGTGCGATTTGAAAATTGCGTTTTCTTAAATTAGGATTACATTGCAAATGCTGTTAATTGCCCTGCCCTATTTTAGATAAACAGAAACCAAAAGGATTGAATACTATTAGCACCTGATGCGTTCTTCATTTGATCCAGTTTTAGTTTATTTTCCTGAAACTTTAGATCAAAATAAGCAAATTTGTGAATTCCAAATTAAATCTGTCCTCTTCCCCTGACTTGCTGCCTTGAAGACCATTTTGCTTACCTTGGTATCGGAGAGCCTGCTGGTCACCGCAGGGTCACAGAGGATTTCTGGTAAAACAAGCATCCTGCTTCGTCTTACATTTGAATTAAAATCTGACCGTTTCATTTAAATTTGTCCAGCGGCTCCTACCTTTGAGGGAGTATTTATGGCCTGATGATGAGTGGACCAGCATGAATTTGGGTCGGTTTTCCAGCAGGACCTTGTTGTCCTGTCGCACCGCCTCTTTGAAGACGTAAGCGAAAAACTGGTCCTTCACAAACCCAGGACTGGCCACCAGGATGCACTTTACCACTAACCACAATCAGAAAAGAGATTTTCATCTGGATTAGCAGCTATAACTCAAAACAAAACACTGGAGTATGTTGAACAAGTGGTACTGTGAGTCATGGCGGTGACAGACCTTCAAAATTGATGTGACGAAGTATCGCCTGCATCACAGCTTCATAAAACCGCTCCAATGCCTGGGAAAAAAAGAAAATCCTCAGTTTAGACTTTAAAAGCTGCATTTCTCCTTACTGTGTGACAAAGAGACTGAATCAGGTTACACCAGGTTACGCCTCTCCAAAGTATTCAGACCATAAAGGTCTTAAGAATCAACCACAAACAGACAGAAAGCTGTGACCTGAAAGAAACAAAGATGGTTTTATAAAATTTTTTAAATAAAATCTGAAAAGTGTTCACCTTCCTTAAAGTATAACTCACCCCATGTAAAAAGATAACCCCGCCCCCAGACAAAATGTTGGCTTGAGTTCCAGCTAAAATTCAACTCTTTGCACAATTACAGTTTGGCCGCATGTTTACACTCGGCATCAACCTCATGTTTTTTAGTAAAACGTATTTATGCATCAATGAGGTGCAAAACTGCAATGCAAACACTTTTTACGCTTCGCACTAGTCAGACGATCTGCAACTAAACCTTACTGCCGCACAAAAAGGATAAGAAGAAAACAGGAATTAGTTGCAGAATGACGGCGAGGCATATTTGGATCAATGAGGAGATTTTTTTACATTTACTTCGCTACAATGAGCTCCATCATGTTTTTTCCAGGACGATTTATTCTTGATCAATATATTCCAACGAGCCACAGCAGAGGACCAACCTTCTCATGCTGGCTGCAGCTTCCCTTTCTCTTCCGAGGAATGGTGACTTCCACTTTAGCTCGCAGCAGAGTCATGGCCGGGGTCACCAGCACAACGTTAGCCAGACCCTCCTGCATGACCACAGCCGCCACGTCTGCCCTCTGCACTGGGTCACATGCCTGCTCTGAAGGCGAGGGAACAGACATGTTTAATGGGCCATTTGCTGTGATGGATGCCTTATGCAGGTACAGATTTTATTCAGAACATTTTAAAAATGCAGCATGATTGATATCAGATTGATATTCAGATTCTAACAAATCCAATAAATGTATTTATGAGGACGTTTCAAAATATAATGAGTGTGAAGCCAATCTGAACAATACTAAAAATCATACCATTATAGGTATCATGTTAGACACAATTATAACCAAGAGTTATATTAAAATACATCAGAATTCATCTGATTAAAAAAAATGAAATTGGCAGCAATAAAAAGACTACGACAAATTTAAGTGATTTAAGGAAAAATATAGATAAAAACATGAAGCTAAAATAAACTTTAAAACCTGAAAGGAAATCGGCCAGTCTCAGCTTGTTGTGTAACATTTAAGGGGCATAATTACTCTCACCGCATCATGAAACGTTTAACAGGAGCTCCTGCTTACCGATTCGATCCAGAACCACGCTGTCCCAGCACTTTTTAGCTAGAGTGAACTTCCTGTTGAGCTCCAGCTCAATAGTATGGTAAGCCCCCATCTGAAAAAAAACATCATCCGCACAGCCACGTTTTATTAAAAACAGGTCTGATGGCAAATAGGAAGAATTTAAAAACAATTGAGGAGCATTTATACTATTATGCTTTTAGCAGCAGTCAGTTCTATTAACAATGGAAGGAAAATGCACCATAGGTGGATCAGATTATTTGGAAATATCTTCGTTTTATGATGTTCTTCTTTAATGCTAGGTCCATAAATACTCAGAAAGGGCCACTTTTTCTCCCAGTTTTTGTTCTGTGCATCAACACATTGCATTTTTAAAGCATAAACTAATGCAGTTGAGGAGACTCTACTTTAATTCAATGGGTTAGAAAAGAGATTGCATAAAAATGCGAGGAACTAATGCACTCTTTCATATGATCCCCTCTGTCTGCAGCTTTAGCGTAAAGGACAACATCAGATTTTAAAGGCTCTGACAGACATTTACTACAGCAGCTATAAGATTTCATCTGTTTTTGAGCCTTTTTTTTTAATCATGTAAGACACACATGTTCATTTAGGTTATGATCAGGCATCTGATTTCCACTTCTTCTCCTTAAAACCTATGGAAGCAAATCGTTACCATATTTAAAATGAAAAAGCATTTCCAGAAATGCTTTTTTCATTTTAAGAATGTGGCTGCATTGTTTGGCTCATAAATGAAATTAGTAATCAATCATCCTATTTGCATTTGCATTTTCTTCTTCAACACTGCTCTTCCTTTTACTTAATTACAATTAAAAAGACATTGGAGATTTATTAAAAGCCCGGTCAGCAAGGACCTGAGGAAGAGCGGCTGCTGACGTCACTCTGCTGCCCCCGCCGCTCAGAATGCTTTTTGGTTTTCGAGTTATGGACAGTACTTTGCAGGCAGACCATGAAAACGAAAAAGCAATGCCCGCTGTGTTTTCTCTTTGATTATGGCATAAATTGTGCAGTCTTAAAGAAGAAAATGCAAATGCAAACAGGATGATTGATTACTAATTTAATTTATGAGTCAAACAATGCAGCCACATTCTTAAAATGAAAAAGCATTTCTGGAAATGCTTTTTCATTTTCAAATTTTACATTTCAAATTGATTTTTGGTATGTATTTGCTGGGGTACATTTTGAAAAATAAATCTCAAATGTCTTTTTCTTTTTCATTTTAATTAAGTAAAAGGATGAGCGGTGTTAAAGAAGACAGTGAAAATGCAAACAGGATTATTGATTATTAATTTCATTTATGAGTCAAACAATGCAGCCACATTCCTAAAATGAAAAAGCATTTCCAGAAATGCTTTTTCATTTTAAATATGGTAACAATTTGCCACCATAAAAACCCACAGGTTGCTTTGTCTCTATGTCTGGGTCGCTCCCCAACTGCATTATGAAACGCCGCCCCATTGATTTAAGTGTATATAACTGGATAAAAGCTGACGGTTTGTATTTGAACACATCAGGATGCACTTGGTTGCTTCTGTGTAGCATCATCAATTAACACCAGTGTCCCATTGACAGTCATGCACACCCAGGCAATCACACTGTCTCCCCAGTACCACACAGATACCGTAGCGTGTTTGGGCTCAGGAGTCTTCTCAATCCATTTTTTCTTGCTATCATTCTGGTAAAGGCTGACCTTGATGTTTATCTATCCATATAATGCAATGTCCAAAATAGCTTGTGAACCCCTCATTTATTTTCAGCCAGTCTCCTCTTGGGTGTTGATGTTTCTGCAGCTAAATAGTAGCTTTTTTCACCCACTTGTGAAGTTCCTTTAATTATATGCCGTTTGTTCATCGTAAAATATTCCAAAATGCAAGCAACACACCTCAAATCTGTTTCGTTAATCATACGTGCATGCATGAATTTCATTAAATAGAAGAGAAAAAAAAAATCTCAGACCTTGACATACTGGTTCTCTTCAATGTTGGTGCCCTTCACTCTCAGCTGACAGGCCTGTGAGTCGAAGTCGATCGCCTCAACAGACAACGTCAAAGTGGTCCTGACTCTGGAGCTGCCCACACTTCCTGTAGTGGACTCAGTCTGCACCTTCCTGTGTAAGAGGGAGTCAGAGACTTCAGTTGGGGTTTATTAGATCCATTTCTACACATTTATCTATAAAAATAAATAAATAAAACAGCCTGACAAGTAAAGAGCTTCTACACATTTTTAAATATAAAATATGAGAATTTGACCAATTATTAAGCAGCAGGGTAGAGATTTTATGGCAGACAGAAATAAGTTTTCTTCATTAGAAAATAACACTTTTAATGAGCTGTAAAGCTTGATTTAATGGGTGTTAATTATTACAGGGCTGCCAACTTTCCACCAAACCTTAGGGTGAGATTTTGAAATAGTTTGGACAGGAAATCCTGTCAAGGTTAGATGAGGATAGGCGCAGCTATAGGTTGGAGGTTTCCAGAGGATTTAATTGAAACAAAGTGAATTTTTTATAGCAGAGTAAATGTTACTGAGTAACAATAAGTAATCCATAGTTATGTGGAACATTTTTCTCACAATATACATTATTTTCTACATTCTGGTGATTTTTAGAGAATTGAAGTAAAGCAGAATGGGCCCTACTAAAATACTTGCATTTTTAATATACTTTAAACTAAGAATTTAACAACTTTGTTCATTAATTATTCTCTGCAGTTCAAGTAAATTAAACAATGGAGAACTAACACGCTATTACTGGATTACTGGCACTGATACAGGAACCAGTGCAACAAAACCTATGCAAACTACACTCTGTATGAATATTTGGTAATAGACTAAGGATTAAAAAGCTTCATTCATTATCTTATTAGTTACAATCAATCTTACAATTGACAAAACGGCTAAACAAGTCAGACCTTCTCGGAGGCGGTAGATTTTATAAAATCTCACCATAAAAGGAGACAGCACTTCTCTGGATGTTTCATTTGGAAGGTGTGATGGAAATAAAGTTTTTAAACATATTCAATGGAATAAGTAATGGAATAAGTGATAATAAAAGAAGAACATCCCTGTGGTTTCTCCTCTATAAACCCTGGATAACTGAGCTGTTCTGCACATCCTCTCTGGATGTGGTTGGTCTTTTCTTGAATGGCTGATCTTTTGAAAAATAAAACGCAATAGTTCTTTTTCTTTGTTATGGACCTCCTGTGGGTTTGAGAAGCAAACCTGGAAGCTTTAAGAATTAAAATATTTGTTTTAGTTTAATTACTCGCATGCCAATGGGAGATTATTCAACTAGACTGAGTAATAATTCTTTAACTTGTGAGCAAAACATGGTCCTTGTCTGTTAGCACTAAGGTTATATGAAAAACGCGGACTGGATTTTGATCACCATGGTATTTTTATACATAAACAAGTGGAACGGAGGTGAGTTTTAATCAGAGGCGTAGCCAGAACATTCTTTATAAGGGTGGCCAGGCAATAACCATTGTACACTGAGGGGGGGTCAATCTACACTGTTCCAACAGGAAAATGAACGAGAAAAACATCCATATTTTCTAAATAAAGACAAACTATAACTATAACTAACTATAACTCTGTAATTTCTAGATAAAAGGTATAGTGGATAAAACTCTTTTCCATTCTCATTACTTACCTAATTCTATGAATAAACATTTTGCATAAAATTTATATTTACAAGCACTAATATCTACATAAATCAATTATTTGATAACTTCTGTACTTATCATCTTTGATGTTAGTATATTGATGTGCATAATTAACCAATTCAATTCAGATTATTTATTAGCACAAATTCACAACACATGTCATCTAAAGGCACTTTACAGTTCACCAGATCAGAGAGTCAAACTGAGTCAAAGTTTTCTATCTAAGGAAAACCAGTTGATTGCATCGACTCATTGACTCGAATGCAATCCCTCACACTAAGCATGCTTTGAGCGACAGTGGAGAGGAAAAACTTCCTTTTAACAGGAAGAAACCTCCAGCAGAACCAGGCTCAGTGTGAGCGGCCATCTGCTGAGGCTGACTGGGGTTCAAGGTAACAGAAGCAGAGATACAAAAAGCAGCTGTAAAAGGTGGGCCCATCCAGGAAACACTTGAGAGTATCACTGCTGCCACCATCTGTATTAGATGGGGGGAAAAACTGGGGTGGCCATGGCAACCCCTGGCCCCCCATCCAGCTCCGCCTCTGATTTTAATGTATCATCTTTTAGTGTGAGAAATTGGGAATATGGAGTGAGAGCGTGTGAAGACACTGAGATGGGTGAGTCTCACTCCCAATGGGTGAGAGCTTGACAGCCCTGTGATTACCTGATGGTTGAGGCTCTCAAACTGTCCCCCACTTGGAGCAGGTTATAGGTGTGCCACATGTCCTCCGCCTCCTCTGGCATCAGGGTCACCTGCCTGGGATAGTGGATCATTACTTTGTTAACTGGTAACCAAATCCAAATATGCTTATTGAATCAATTCCCCCTTCTGGAGAAAGAGGATGCTACAAACACTAGATTTTATTTAGTGCATAGTCATACTGATGCTGTAATAAAGGCGCACCTAGGTTTGTTGTTATGCTTAATCATAGCAACGTTTAGTCTATAGCAGTGACATAAACGAAGCACACCTTGCTAATACTTTCATTTTGACTTTGAAATTAAAAATGATCCGTTTTGATTAAACGTGATCTTTATATCTCCGCTGACACGTTTAGAAAACAGCATGCTTAGTAGCTTGCTAACATTAGCACTCACCCGGCATTATCTTTCTCAATGTCTTTATTCAGCAACTTCATGGCTGGACGATTATAACATTTAAAAAAGAGGAATTAACCTAAACTACCGAGGTTCGAATGGAAGCAAGTCAGATGCATTTTTAGGTCGATATGAGCGCTAACTAAGAAAAAGCCATGTCTTAACTTTAGAATGAATCACTCGGTTGGTTCATATTGCTAGGCGCTGAGGCGCTGCGTCACCAAAAAATGCGACCTTCCATTTCGGTCACTTCCGTGAGCGTTAAGTAAGGCAAGACATTTAAAATTTAGTCATATAATAATAAAACATGATGCTCAAGTCACCACAGAATCAGTAATTGTGTGCTTAAACAAGAAATTTAACAAAACTATATATAAACCTGAGAGCAGATATAATAAGAATAAATGTATGGTTACAGTTTACACAATAAAAGGGGGGAAAGAAAGGCAAGTTAGAGCAAATATGGTTTTGCGTCATAGCAGAGTATCTGCATACACTAATATCATGTCCTGTAATTTGATTTCTAATAATTCTGCATTTATTTCATTATGGAAACCTCAGTATATCAGGCATGAAATGATATACTTTTTTTTCCATGCTATTTTTTTCCAAGGCTTTTTCATAGCTTGTGTTTTAGTTTTGGCCTAGTAGTTAGAGCAGTCCGCTTGTGCTCTGAGAAGTTGCAAGTACCCGGTTTGATCCCCACAGCCTCCACTTTGGGTTTCTGAGCAAAATCCCTAACAAAACACTGCTCCCCGGGCGCCACACAATGGCAGCCCACTGCTTCCAACGGGGATGGCTCAAATGCAGAGAGTGAATTTCCCTATTGTGGGAAAGTATCTTTGCTGTTCCTGGAACTGTACACTTCTGGACCCAGATGTCTGATGTATTTCCCTTGATCTGCATAAACACTCCGCAAGTTTGGGGGTCACTGCCCCGAGTTCCCCAATGACCATGGTCACCACTGTTGCCTTGACCTTCCAGGTTTCCCCCAGCTCTTCTCTGAGCTCCTGGTATATCTCTAGGTTCTCATTTCCCTTTTTCCTGATGCGCATGTTCCTTTCCTCTGCTTTTTGTCCACCACCACAATGTCCAGTTGGTTTGCCATTACCATTCGGTCCATCTGTATCTGGAAGCCCCACAGGATCTTGGCTCAGTCATTCTCTACCATCTTTGGAGGTGTTTTCCACATTAACCTTGGGGTTTCCAGCCCATACTCTGCACAGATGTTCCTGTATACTATTCCAGCCACTTGGTTATGGTGCTCCATGTAAGCTTTCCCTGCCAGCATCTTACGCCCTGCAGTTATATCCTGGATTGTGTCAGGAACCTCTTTGCACAGTCTGCACCTGGGGTCTTTTCTGGTGTGGTAGATCTGGGCATCTATTGCTCTGGTGCTCAGGCCCTGCTCTTGTGCAGCAATGATGAATGCCTCTGTGCTGTCCTTCAGTCCGGCTTTGTCTAGCCATTGGTAGGATTTCCTGATATAGGCCACTTCGGTTATGTTCCGGTGGTACATCCCGTGTAAGGGCTTATGTGTGTGTAAATAATTCAATAATAATAATAATTAGAGGACACCAAAATATAAAATACTTAACATTCAAACTAAATTACAGAGAAATGTTCCAAATTGAGTACTGTTATATAAAATAGAGATTGCTCAATACTATCTCTGTCAGTCTTAGCTGGGGTTTGTATTATTATTATTGTTTTATTTAGGATATTTATGAACAGTAATTTGCCAGGTATGTAATTTCGATTATGTGCTAGTACAACCTGCCGTACATTGAGAACTACTCCATTTTTATTTCAAGCTGATGAGCAAATACTGACAAACTTCAAGCACAGCCAATCCTAGAGAAGGTTTAACACCATAGGTACCGCCTACCTCAAAAAATTAACCAATCACAGCTCAAAAACAGTGTTGCCTACTTCCGTTAACCATCTCTTCCAGCTAACGCTCCCCTAGCCTTTTTTTGTCGATTGCATGGTGCTAGTTTCTGCGGCATAAGCGAGGTTGTCACGGGAGAAATACCAACATCTACAGGCTTACAAAGATATTTACTGACAAATATTTGACGATTTTTATTTCTTGCAGCACATGTCAGCCATTACACTTCCATTTATTCAACTCCCGGCCTCACACTTTGAGGTTGACAATTATTCCCCAAGGTTAGTGAGCTAGCGCGCTAGCGATAGCCGATTAAAGTAGTTAAGCTAACGGTAACTCGGTAGCCTCCACATCTCTATTTTCTCCAATACTACAATATAAAAATATAGGGGGATAAAATGGCGGAAGCCGATAAGCTGAACATCGACTCCATTATACAGCGCCTGCTTGAAGGTAAGAACCAGAGTATACATTTATCCCTCACATAGGTGCCATTTTAACAACAGGGAAGCCGCCAATGCTAAGCTAACCAGTTAGTCATCTTTAGCGGCTTGAAAACGTAGCTGAATTTTGAAACTGTGCACGAGCCCAATGATCAACTAGATTTGATTAGATGTTTATAAAACTCATTGTTTTATTATCTTACCATTGAAACATATGATTAATCTATCAAGACAGTGTGCTTCGTTATACTTAGATTTACACTTAAAGGAAACCATTTGACTAAAGTCAGGATCAACACATTACAGATCATTACTGATTGGGCTATAATTAATTGATTGGTACAAATATCAGAAATTAAGAAAGTCAGCATAATGGTTATTGCTTAGTCAATTTTTAAATATTTAAAAACTACAACAGAACCATAAACATGCACAGTTCCAGTGTATTATACATTTCTTATTCTCTGAGAAATATTTGCAAAAGTGTTGATGAATTTTCTTCATTATTCAGTTGTTTGAGTTAATGCTGTGTTTACTACTCGATATCAAATGTAGTCCCAGAAAAAAAAAAACTAATTTTGAATATTTATATTTAAGAATTTGAAACAGGATTTAACAGAAATTAAATTTCATATATTAAGAAATATGTTGCATTTTTTTGTTAGACAAGAATTTAAGGTATTAGCATAGTTCTGTTATTAACAGGAATAAAAATCAGGATTTATTTTATTCCAAATTTAAACATTTTCTATTATTTAAAAAGTATAATTAGTAAGGCTAGAAATTTGCTTCTCATTGTGATCATGAAAATATGAGCATAAAAAGTTTGTGATCTATTTGAAAAATTGTAAGAATTTTCACTTTGACCTGTGAGCTTCTAGAAGAAAAAAGGGAGTGAGATTAAAAAAGTGATATATATTTGTTTTCAAATTAAGGAGTCAGCGATGATTAGGTGCATCTTTCTTGTTAATCGCCTCTTAAATGCGTTTCACATGCGAGATGCAGGTTTTCCCAAAATTAGAATTTTTTTTAGTGTATGCAATGACAATATCTCTTTCTTATTAGCACATTTTTTTTCACAATTCCATTTTGTTGTTTGGTATTTTAGCAAGATTTAAATAGATTAAACTAATATCAGAGATCACCAATCCATGACTCTAATTCACTTTAAATACTTACAATGCAATTTTTTCTTATTTACATAAAAACTTCCCCTGATATTTTAACTTGCAGATATTAAAATATCACAAATTCTGATCATGAAATATTAGAATTGTTGTTTTTAGAGATGCACGAGGCTATTAGCGGCATCAGTAGTTTTGAAATTTGTTCTAAAATTTTTCTTTGGTCCTTTAAGAATTAATCCAGGTGTCAATAAAAATGTAGACATGCATGATGCACGATTTTCCAGGATGATGCAGATTCAAACATTGAGGTTTTAACCATACCTGCTGTATCATTAAAAAAAAGACCAGAGTTTTGGATCCAACAGAAATTTGGAGGAAGTACAACAGGATATTTGATATTAAAACTGTTTTACTGATTTATGACCAACTCTTTACTTGGTGCATAATAACATCTTCAATAGCGATTGTCTTTAAATCAGATTTATTTTACGCAGATGTCAAGCAACTATTCACATCTTTGGGCCTACTTTGCATAAAAGTAGGCCCTAGTATTGTTCCTTCCACCACAGTGGAAGTCGTTGTTCCTTATTTTGTCTTATGTGGTTCTTGTTTCCAAAGTGAAAGGATCCAGACCAGGTAAAAACGTTCAGCTGACAGAGAATGAGATCCGTGGCCTCTGTCTGAAGTCCCGGGAGATCTTCCTCAGCCAGCCAATCCTGCTGGAACTGGAGGCGCCCCTTAAGATTTGTGGTAAGCCTAAGTTATTCTCTTGTGGGTCAGGGGTCATTTTCACACAGTTTAATATTATGGTTATCGTAGCTCCCTGGAGTCATGCTATGAAGCTCTTTTAAGCATCACAATTGTTTTCTCATCAGTGGTAGAAACTGTTTTCAAAATAGTTGCTGAACGGAACTTAGCGTTTGATTTGACCTCGCCTCATTAAAATTATGCAGTGAGTCATTTTTCTTGGCGTGCCACTGCCGAGGTGTTTTGCAGTGAGAGTCTCCTTGGACTTGTTCTCCTGAGCCTTTATGCTGATGACACCATTTAGTGCGACTGCATAGGAACATTGTGTAAAGTTCAGAAGGTGACTGAGCTTTTGGTGCCGCTGCAGGAAAAAAAAAGAAAAATCACCACAGCACTAAATTCAAGGACACATCTTCAAATCAGTTAAAGCTCCATTGATAAAAAGAAAGGGATCACTTTAAGTGAAGGTTGCTGCAAAATATGGAAGATAGTGTTGAACCTCCAGCCAGCTTCTTAACAATTTAGTCTGCAAATATCCAACCTTTGACCACTTTCCTGTGTGCTCCCTGTAAACTACAGTGCGTCCTATATTCCTATATAATTATCTTTAAAGGCTTCCAAAGTCAGCTGTAAGCATATATATGATGAAATATTTTGTCTGGCACCATAGAGTTTGCATTTGTTAAGAAATGTTAGTCGTTTCCTGGTACTATTGCAACTAACCATACATCTCCTTGTCATAACTTGGTCATTCCTGTCCATAATAAACACATGCTTGTTTCTTGAACAGAAAAATAACTAAGTTGTTGTAAAATATGAATATCTGTCTGGGATTCCATTCATTTTAGTTTAATATTCTGTTTCTGTTTATCTTATCTAGATAGCTCCAGTGAGTTGAATCTAAATCCAACTGAACCCTGCTTTTTCTCTTTAGGTGACGTTCATGGGCAGTACTATGATCTTCTCAGGCTCTTTGAATATGGAGGCTTCCCGCCAGAGAGCAACTATCTGTTCCTGGGCGATTATGTGGACAGAGGCAAGCAGTCCCTGGAGACAATCTGCCTCCTTTTGGCCTACAAGATCAAATACCCAGAAAACTTTTTTCTGCTGAGAGGAAACCACGAATGCGCCTCAATTAACAGAATATATGGCTTCTATGATGAGTGTAAGTCATGGAAAAAGTTTGACATTCTTACAATTTTTGAACTGAATCTTTAATCAGATGTTTAGTTTAAGCATCATCCACATATGTAGTGCCTGATACCATGCTGTAAGAAGCGACAGGGAGCTGAAAACAGAATATTTCTGGAGGAGAACCTGTTTAAAGTTGCAGCGGTCCCTCTTCCAGTACAGTAACTATCCAACCTGAGCTACCATGATGTAGTTATGATCAAAGCATGTTTGCTTAGGATTTGCCTAATCAAAATCCATAAATCCTAGTGAGAATTTGTGCTAAGTCTTAAATGTTGACTGTTTTTTTTATCATTTAATATTGAAAGATAATCCTGTTTGATTTTGCTTGAGTTTTTCTGCAAAGAAGAATGTGCAAAATATTCAGCTTCAAGGTGTTCCACGCTGATAGATGTGTTATGCAGGGATGTGTTATTCTCTTCTACAAACACAGGTTATTTTAGTGCGGTTGCATGCCACACTTTTTAGATTTTATCTGTAGAAGATCTTAGAAACGATGTAATCCTTCCACTTCACAGTTCTGGCAGACAAAGGTTTAATCAGCTGCATCAGATCCTAATAAAACTCTCTGAGCTGTTCAGCTGTAACGTGACAGTGTGAAAATGTTCACGGTGTTTGTTTCTCCGAGGCGAAGTGCTTAATCAGAGGCAGGATTATGTCGAGGAAAAATAAACATCCTAATCTCAGTAAATAATATTCTTGTTTTCTGGAGGCTTAAGATTGGAACACTGGAACCGATCCGTGGCGGTTTTCTTCTCACGCAGGTAAAAGGCGATACAACATAAAGCTGTGGAAGACCTTCACCGACTGCTTCAACTGTTTGCCTGTCGCAGCCATTGTTGACGAGAAGATCTTCTGTTGCCATGGAGGTATTGTCCTCACACGGTTAACTCGTCTCTCATATCTGCTCTGTTGTTTCTGTCAACATCACAGTCAAAGAAGCGTATAATTGACACTATTTATGTACAGTTTTCTCCGTATCAGCAGACATGGATACAGGCAAAACTTAAAAACTGATTCAGAACCTGCTGGTTGACTTGGGATGTTGTTGTCTTTTTTTTTTTTTGTTTTTTTGCTTTACCCTGCTCATTTTGAGATATTCAGGACAGATACATCAGACATGCATGGTAAATAAGATTGTTATTTCACTGTCAGCTGATGTGCTTTTATAGGTTTATTTAGCTGGTTTAGAAAAATCTGTGAGCTAGAAATGGAGGCAAAGGTTGAGACAAAATGGCAGTGAGTTGCATGGAGTCAA